AATAGAACGAGAAGGAAAACTAACTTAGTTATAATTTTCGAAACTAAACATCTATCTGAAAAGTTATGATTTATAGTCTGCTTAAGGAAGCATTTTTTTCTCTCAACTTAATCAAAAATGATAAACTAAAATTTTGCTCCAGAAATTTAAATTTCAGAATGACCTTATTCATAAATTGTATATATATGTTAGTTCCAGTCATATTTTGGCATTATAGCACAGAAAAATTATTTTGTGGTCACCAAACTTAAATTTCTTTTTTTTTATTTAACTGGATAAGAATTAATACTTTAAATAATTCAACAGCTGCACATTTAAGAATACATTTGCAGAACAGATCAACAAAAAATACATTTCACCTTTTATTTAGGTCATTACATACTCATTTAGTGTAAACATTGTTTATTAATAATTTTTAAGAATTAGATTTATTACCACAAATATAATAAACGTTTGGATGATGAAAAAGTAATAAGTCGTATAAGCAAATATGCATATTTAATGCTAAACGTTATTGTTTTTCCTTTGTACTGTATTCTCTTCAACATATCACACTTCAACTAGCATGAAAACTCTAGTTAATAACTAACAACAAATCGCAAAAACATAAGTTTTTCGAGATGCAAGGAAAAAAATGAAGTGTAATGGCTTTTGACTTAACTGATAACACTGAATGTTGATCTCAATAAGATGGAGAAAAGATTGCATGATAGATTGTGATTAACAAAAGTAAAGTTGCATTCTTTTGAAGTACACAGCAAAATTTCCAAAAACAGCAAAGGTATTTTTGTTTTAGGAATTCAGGCAATTTAGCTGGTAGTTGCCTACATGTTTGCAGAATAAATATTTTGGATAATGTTAACAAAATGTTTGTTTTTCTCTTTTCTATATTGATGCCAGAAGTGATTTTTTTTAAAAAAGTAATATTGTTTAGAACATTAGTTCTTAAAATGATCATATATTGTTCTGCAATGTTTAGTACAACACTATTTTAACAGTGTGTTTAATTCTTGTTTCAATACTGCCTTGAATGCTTTTAAGCTGTTTTCAGAAATAGTAGAAACAATAAGAAATTTTTCTGAAGATGGGAACAATTTTTCCCAAGATGGTAAATACCTTGCCAACCCTGAGTGAAGCTGATGACTTAGGTTCTGTTTTTTATATGTTTAGAGAGACGATAGTTCAGCTCCAAAGTACTATTTAAAAAAAAAAAAAAATATTTGTAATTACACATAAAGCAAGCTCGAAAACAGGTATGCTATGGTCAAAATACAAATGCTAAGATAAAGCAGTTTCGAATAATAAAATTTCCCATGTTTCAACCTTCTTGTTTACAGAAACAAAACTGAAGTATTTAATTTCTTGTGTTCTTTTCTTAGTATGACTTTCAAATTACTGTTTTTGGAAAAATTATAAATTTCACACCATTTTAATCTTCTACATTTTTTCTCTTATTTTGACATTTGTTTAACCTTTTGTTTACGGTCCTTAGCATTATGAAGCCGTTCTGGTTCACTTATTGTACCAGCTGTAAGCAAAAGGTTAAATGTGTAGAATCTGAAAGGTGTATTATTTCATGTGGATATATTAATTAAATTTCAGTTTAGGAACTTATTTAATAAATCGATTGGCTGACTTTAAGGACTGATATTTTAATTTTCAGCAGAAGCATTACATTTACTAATTCTTGTTCTCTCTTAATGCTTTTTTTTTTAGATAATCATCTGATTCATAAATAAATACTTCTAAATCTGAGTTAAACTATTAAAAAAAATTTACATGAAAAACAATTTTAGTGGTATAATTTCATTTTCAGTGTAACTACATTGATGAGGAGTTTTATAAAAACCAGGGGCGTGTGTAGTGTTAGTTTGAAAAATTGTGTAAAAAAATAATTCTGACATTCGCTTCAGATATTTAAAAGTTATGTGCTATTTGCAAGCTAAAAGAAGTGAACATTTTAAAAATTATACTAAATTTAATGAAAAAAAACTTGATGATTAAAATTACGAACGTCTACTTCTCACCTCGCATCAAAAAAAATATTTTTTTTTGCAAAAATAGAGGGTATGCTAGACAGCAGAAAAAATAAACACACTTATATGCTGAACTTAAATTAAGTAAATGTAGTCATCTAAAATTTATAAAATCCTCTTTCCTACCTGACTCATTTAAAATTATTTTTTTCCGGAGCTTTAATTAAGTTTCATTACAGATATCACAGTTCTGACAAAACTTGCAAAAAAGTAGCTAATAAATTGATTTTTAAATGCAAAGAATGTATTTTAACACAGTCTATCGATCCTCACAGTAAAAAATCTAAACTCAGTGGCGNGCCATCAAATAATTTTGACTTCGTGATTATTGGAAAATTATTAATACTAAATACTATCAAATCAAAACTCTTTATTTACATTGAAAAAAAAATACATTTTGCCATGTCTTAAAACAACTTAAAGTAACATCAGTGTGACTTCTGTTGTTGCAGATTCGATGACAAATAACTTATATTAGGTTGTAAGATGTAAGTTTAAGCAGGACTGATGATTTTTTTTAATCTAGTTATTTATTGTTAGCTTGTTTTTTACGGTCATTAATTGTTTTTTTGTAGTACTAATTTTTAATTTTTTTATCAATAATTGTTTATTATTTGTTTGTTTTTCGTGAATTTTAATTCAATTGTTCCATATGCTTCATAAACATTTGTGTAATAACAATTCATAGTGTAACAACAATTGTGATCGGGTAGAGCGCCCGAAATATATTGTGTCGCGTGCCATTGGTTCGCCATCCCTGTTGTATATGGTTTTATTGCACCCTTCTGTGATGAGAAATAAATACTCAAGTTCCCAATCATTAAATTTCCTCCAAATTTCAAATGAATTATAAAATTGATCTAAAAACATAAAATAAATTTAAAATCCACGCAAACAGATTTCAGCAAGAACAGCAACCAAACCTGTAATTGGAGCATATTTTTTCTAATTTTGTTGGCATTATATCATAGCTGTTACTTGTACTTTTAGATTTTATGTATGTTTCATTAAAATAAGTTTGAATTGATTAATTCTGTTGTTTAGAGTTGAGGGGAAAAAAAAAAAAAAACTAGTTGAGACTATGAGAACTATTGAATCATTTTTAACCCTATTTTCAATTGAGCCCATACATTTTAATGCCTTTTTACAAAATTTTATTCACTTTTATTGTACATGATGTTGGCCAAATATCAAATAATCATACTGTATGTTTATAAATTTTTCAATGAAAATTATGTATAAAATAAAAATAAAAGTCTAATAAGGGTTATGTCTCGTGGGGCAATTCTAGAGAGTTGACGTGGATTTTTTTCTTAGCAACCTAGCAATTTGCTTTACCATTAAAATGCTATAATTGAGAGCCCTGGTTTAACAAAAAATAGATTACAAATTATTACAATATATTTTATTTACAATACCATATATGTAATGCACATGGCATAAAGTGGTTTTTTGGGTTGAGATGGTTAACATATCAACTCACCCTTATAAAAATGCCGTCATACATTTAGAGAAAAAACTTCCCATTTGCTTATTTTTGCTGGCTTAGGGCATAAAGAAATATAAGCTGACTCAAGATATTAATTCCCTCCTTATGACGAATTTGGTTTTTAAATTGCAAAAATTATTACATTTTGCAGTAATTATATCTTAAATAAGCATAAGGAAGAGGGCTTGTTATATCTCTATAATGGCTGAGAAGAAGGTTAAAAATCAATAATAATGTGATATGAATTGTTTGAGTTGCCTTGTGAGTTGAATTGTTTGGGATAAATGAAAATAAGTTAGATCTGTTTGTGATAGCAGAGTACATAAATTAGTATATTATGTACAGATGTTGTAGGGTGTTGCTGAAGTTTGAAAAGTTGTTAATTTTGTAAAAAAAAATAAATTATTCTACATACATATATTGTATTCTACAATATAATGGTGCAAGGAGCGATGCCAGTGGGGAAGAAAACAGTTTTAGTGAAGGTTTGTTTTAGGGGTTTACTTGAAGGCATTAAAAATTGCCTATGATAGGATTTTGTCAACCTTAGTTATACCAGGATCAACTGCTCCTACTAACTCAAATTAATGATTATTTTTACTCAGTATGTGCAATACATTTTTTTAAATTTCATAGTTTCTAAAGTTTTTTTTTTTTTTTAAATGAAAATAAATGTGTCAAATAAGCACATTTAGTATTGAAATGGGAATAAAAAAAAAAGGGGAAATTTTAAATTTGTCTTACAGAAGTTCATATAAAATTTAGTTAGTTCTGAAATTTTGGGTCACATGATTCCAAGGTGCCTCATTGGCTGGACTTATTACATGCAGTTATAAGGTACAACATCATTGCAAGTAGCCAAAGCACTAATTGCTTGTTAATGAGAAGTCCAAAAATCCTGAGTCCCTGGTCGCTATCCTACTAGAACTTTAAAATCAGCCTTTTTTATTAACCCATATGGTGTCCTTGTTTGCACTTAGTTTCGTCTTTTGATCTTATATTAATTTTATTAAAATGTAATTTTATATTCTTAGAATAAGTTAGTAACCTTTAAGAACAAACAAACTTATCTTTATTTTTTATTAATATATTAAAAATACTAATTGTCTTCTAGTAATTTTCTAAAAACGAAACGTAAGTATGTTAGTTTTTGTTGCATAATTTACTAGCATCTAGAAATTTTGAACTATTATAGACCCTTGTTATTCCTTACATTTTGCGGCAATAATTTGTGACAATTTGTTTTTATCATAATAAGTTAGAAAAAGAAAATTAACACCACTTTTTTCTTCTTCATTTTCACTGTGTAATTTCAGTATTTTAGAATCATGCAATTGCAGGGAATATGCATCTAAATAAAACTTAAGTTTAAATTTTACTGAAATGAAACATCACCCTATGAAGCAGTATTGTTTTCACATTGTTTGTGTTTCGATACTGAATTTATTGTTTTATACTTCTACTTTTTTTTAAAGGAAGAGGAATCACATGGATTATCTACAAGTGGTGAATTATCCTCAAGCATAAGCAATGATAGGGATTCATCTGCTTTGAACCAGACTCTAGATTCAACTAATGAAAATTCTGGCAGTGACTCAGATTCAGATTCTAGCTCAGGATCTGGTAAATCTGGCTCTGCATCAAAATCAGAAGATGAAAAATCTAATTCTGGGAGATCAGCTAAAAGTTCAAATTCAGGATCTAACAGTGGCTCTGGATCTGACTCTGGCTCATCCAATAGTGGTTCTGACTCAGGATCTGAGTCAGAAGCGTAAGTCTTTTTATTATTTTTTTAAATTTTATTTATTGCTTTTATTTTTGAAGAAGGTATGTGCAAGGTAAATTGTTTATTATAAAATCTTAAATCTACATTTTTATTTTTTGACAGGAGAGAATATTTGTTAGAAATAAAATTATTTTCCTATATTTTGAGTAAAGAAATCAAAACATTTGCAATTTATGTTTAATTATATTTTTTAATGCTATTTTTTAAGTTAAAACAAAATAGGTTTTTCCTTTTTAATTTGGTTGTAATTTTTTCTCTCTCATTTTTAGAGAAAGTCATGGGTCTGCTAAAGATGCTAAAATTAAAAAAGAGAAGCAGAGTTCACATTCAGAAAATGAGTCTGCTCATAGTGAAGAAGATAGCAAAAGTTCCCATGGTAGTTACAACTCTAAGGCAACTAAAGCAAAAGATGTTAAACGTTCTCCGAAAGGCCGTCGTGATTTAGATGATCTTAAAACGGTAAATTTCAGTCTTTTTTTTTCATGTTAAGTTCAGTTCTCTGTCATGCAAACGAAGGTATACTTGCCAGTGAGAACTTTTGAGCCTATAAAAATTAAAATAAAAAAATGTGTACATGTATTCTTACATGTTAAATTATCGAGTGTGTGGATGAAAAAAAAATATCTGGGAGTGATATTGCTTTTATCAAAGAAAATTTCCAAATTTGTTATACAAAAGCTTATTTTTATCATAGAAAGTTATAGGTACTTATTTAATGTGCTCTGAGTTTCTAAGGGTATTACATTTTTAGCAATTGTAATGATTTCAGCACAAACCTGGATTGTATACAGTTTTTTTCTTCTTCTTTTTTTGCAAAGTATATTTTAATTTGAATTAGCTTCTTTTTTTGCAAAGTATATTTTAATTTGAATTAGCTTCTTTTTCCATTTCTTCTCTCTTACTCTAAAGAAAAGATTGATTACCTATCCAAAAGAGTCCATCTATTATTTTTCACTACTAAAATACCATATAATAATGCCATGCAAAGATATGCATATTTTCTATCATTTCAAAACTAAATTTCATAAAAATAAAATCAGAAAAAAGTAAAATCCTTTGCCCGATAAATGAAAACCCTTAATATAATTTGTTATCTTTTTATTCAATAATCTCAATTTGAGTTCCAATTTTAAAGATTCCCTCTACGTCTGCTCAACGCATTTAATATAAAATTTGAAAAGAATTACATGAATACTATGAATTTTATTAAAATCCCTTATTGTGTCTTGCAGTTTCTTTGCCACCAACACATAGTGTAAGGCTAAGAAATGGAACTTCGGCAATAAACTAAGACAGTTAATATAAGGAAGGCTTCCTTAACTTTCCCCTGGCAAATAATAATATTGAATAATACTTCTACATAGCATTTGTGATTTCTTGATGGATAGTCGTTTTCTGTTGGGTTTGCCCCTTCACTTATACCTTTCTGGCCATTTAAAAAATTATTTTATTCTTTAACAACCTTTATTTTATAAAAACTAATTTCTTTGAAAAAGAGCAGATATGAAATATAGTGGAAAGTCCCATGTCCATTGTTGAATTTCAAATCACGCATTTCAGTTAGTAATAATTTCTCAATTCTCTTGATTTGGGACAATTCCATAGTGAATCTGGGTGGTTTTGTTGCTCGTTCTTTTGGTAGATGTTAAAATGAATTTTCACTTGGTAATTAAATATGATATTTTGTTCCATAAAATTCGTATTGTGCATTTTGCACTAAATTATTGACGATTCACCCTCGATCTCATGTGGATTTACGATCACACTTTTGTCATTTATTACTTAGGAGTTTCATAATTTTTTAATACTACTTTACATGGGAAATTTCTATTCACACATTTGAAGGATTGCTTTTCGATGCACTCACTTTGTGACAATTTAATAGTTCACATGGTTTTGTCGATCGCATTTTCAACTGTTTGGTATTTCAACATAGGTATTTTTTTAAATTATGATTTTATTTTCAATATAATACTATTTCGATCTGTGAATTCTGAATCGCGCTTGTGAATTTTGACTGTATGACCCCCTTCGTGATAATTTCAAGTGAGAACTAGACTTTCTTCAAAGTGTGAAATTTTGCTCACTTGAAATTTAGTGCCCGATTCTTGACGGTAGTAATCCTTTTATGTGAGACTTGGGGAGAAAAATACATGATTTTTTCGCTAGTGCTGTTTAGAAATATTGGATTTCATTTCTGTGATATCCATGTTTTTCATATTATTACAGAAATCAGACTGAAATTAGAACAAAAGTTGGAAGTCTGGTAAAAGTTAAGAAGATGCGTGAAATCAAAAGATTCTCACCTCTTTTCTTTAACAAATCGCAAGTGTCAATTTAAAAGTAAAAAAAAAATTTTGTTCCTTTGTCCTGTATTCTTTTGTTATTAATTCAAAATGCCTCTTCTTTAACTTTGTTAACTTAACTTATAACTTGAATATAATTGTTTTTCGTCATCATTATGAAAGGAAATTGTGGAAAAATTGATAATAATTATTTTCTCCAACGATTACTAAACTTCATCAATAAATTCCAAGTGCTATTTTCCACCACCAATTACTTCTTCCTCTGCAAATGGTAATTAACATCTACGGGATAAATTGTATCATGAATTGTACCATTTTAATTTCTTCATAGCCCTAAATTTTTTACAATTGATGCAAATAATTTATCATCTTCAGAAAGTGATTTGATAATCTATTTTAAACTCACTATATGCAATCTTAATAATTTGAAGGAAAATTCCAAATATAATTAATGCTACATGTAAATTAAGTTACATAAAAGTATACTCTCTGAATAAACTTACCTTCCCTCCCCCAATACATCACATTCAGATTTTCAATCCCTAATTATTCATATAATTAATTATGTAGCTCAATTTTATATCTATTTATGATGTATATATATATGTACAAAGATAATTTCATGCAAACAATAATATAATAAATATATATATTTTTTATGGTTTTATATATTTTTTATGGTTTCATTTAGTAAAAAGAAGAATTGAAAATTGTAAGGTATACAGATTTTGTGTAATAAATAACCTTTTATGATAAAAAATTGAAAAATCCAGCGTTTTTGATTTCATAGCATATTTACAATCTGCTTTTTACACCACTAACATTGTATATTTGTACATGAAAATCTTATTATAATATGAAAAGTTTAGGAGGATACATTTTTGTTAGCCGGCCAGGTGGCCGAGCGGTTAGCATGCCTGACTGCGAAGCAAATGGCTGCGGGTTCGAATCCCGTTCTGAGCATGGATGTTTCTCTCTATGTGTTGTCATCTGTTGTGTGAGATGTGTGAATGTGGCCCACCCTATGAACGGGTATTTGTGGGAGTGTGGTGGGGGTAATGTTGCTCTCATCCATGACTTATTTTCATAGGTGCCCACTGGGTAACATTAAATGAGCTACACTTCCGGCATCTTCCAAGGTGAAGAACGAAAGTTCAGTACCTGCCGTTACATTTTTTAAAAAAATCACTGTACATGTATATGAGACTACTTTTATGTGCATTGTTGCAACTTCTTTTAAATTTGATTAAACATGTACTGTATATATATTTTCAAATATTTATCTGACTATTAGTAAAATAATTCAATATTTTTCTTTCTTTACTAAGCTTTGGGAAGAGAACCCTGAAGAATTTGGTATACGAAGGTCTGGTAGGTCAAGAAAAGAGCCAGAAAGGTACACAATTGGAGATGTAAGTTTTGTTATTGCTGTTTCAGTATAAATTTTGTGTAATGTTATTTGTTTTACCTACATGCTTGACAGTGGCATAATTAATCTGTTATATTTAATGTTATATTTAATCTCATATTCTTTAAAATTTATTTTTAGAGTGAGAACTGTTAAAATGATTATTTTTTTATTCATTATTTGCATTCTAACAGATATTAAATTATTTTTTTAGGAATCTGAAGAAAGTGATAGTGGACAAAAAAGGGATTCAAAAGGCGGAAAGCGTGTCAAGAGGAAGCAGTATGTATTTATCCATGTATTTTGAATTTTTTCTTCATGACCTACTTCTTTTTATTGAAGAACGTAGTTTTTGAATATAATGTGTAAATATACATTGATAATTAAAAAAAAATGTATCTAAATGTGATGACTAATTGTAAAGATGGGAAAAAATAATCCAAAATGTTATTTCCAAATGTAACGAGGGCTTTAGAACACGTCTAATGATGTTTTTGCATCCAACCATGGGTGCCATCTTTCGAAAATTTCCTCAGACGGAAGTAAGACGGAAACAAGACTGACTCCAAGACGGAAATTGGATTTTTTTTTTCTGTCCTTAAAAATATTTTTTAGGTCTATGTTATTGGTCTACTTTTTTATGTCCTGTTGTTATTTTATCAAAAGACAGATGAATAAATGTTTTTTGTACAGTATTTAAACTTGATGTATTATGGTAAAGCTTTCTTAGATAGTTTGCATATGTCGAGGGGGTATTGTGTATGTTAGGTATTTCAGTCAAAAAATTTTCAGTCTTGGCCTTTTTTCCAACTTGCACCCGTGCATCCAACTGTTCCACTGTATTTTTTTCAGGTTTATACTTTTCAAATATTCGTATTTAAATCTTATTGCATAGGAATTACAGTTTTTTTCACCACAAATGCTTTTCTGAGCATGCAGCTTGTCTTCATTGCACAAACCTTTTATATAAATTAAATAGCTTGAGAATTCAAATAGATATTTGCAATTCTGTATTTTTTTGTCTGAAATTTTAATGTCAATCCTGGTTTTTTACTAACCATTCTTGTTATTATTTATTGTGTTAAAATGTGCTTTTTGTGTTTTGCATACTTGGGTGTGTATTTAAATTTATCTTTTAAAAGAAGTCTTGTGATGTCTTGGGATTTGTGTCCTTACGAGTACAGCATTTATTATATACAAACAATCCCCTCATTATTGCAGTGATCCTTTTATATCAATGATATCCCCTTTATATAATGCCTGCTTTCAAATAATTTTTAAATTTTTTTTTCCTGCTCTAATAACAAAGCACTTAAAGTTATTTTAGCTCTTGGTAAGTTTCTATAATAGTTATATTATAAATATTATATTTAGATCTCAAGACTGGAAGGAATCTAATAGTGATAGTGACAGTGATGATAGTGCTTATCAAAGTAAGAGGTCTGCACCTAGAAATAAATCTACTCATTCAGAAAAGAGAAGACCTGTTAAAACTTCAAGCTCTAAGAAAAGGGTCAAACCTAAAAAGAAGGGGCATAATTCATCAGACGAAGATTATTACGATTCAGATGGTAGTGAGAAACAAGTTCCATTACGGCAGTCCAGAAAGAGTGTTAGGTTTGTATTTCAGTAATTTGTTTTCTGAAATTGAGATGATTTACCATGAAGTTTTTTATTATTACTATTTTACTCTGCTTTAACAAGATCTGAGACTTATTGAAATTTTTTTTAATAAATTAATGTCTGAAGTTAAAAAATTAATAGAAATTTGATGTTATAAGCATAATTTGGATGTATTTTTTTTTTTTGAACTTATTAAGGAATCTGAAACTTATTGTTAAAAATCTGATACTTACTAAACTTATTAAAGAATCTGACAAATATTTTTTAAAAAATTTATTTGAAAGTATCAATGTCCTTTCACTGACAAATTTCTGGTAATAGGGAAAAGAAAAAAGAGTGTTAGGTAATAGAAAAAAAAGAAGAAAATTCTGCCCATGTCATTTGTGCTTAGGTATATTATGCATTGGCATATATACCTTAGTACTAGAAGATTTTTCATCTTAATGCAAATGATGCAACATTGGAAATAAAATAAAATCTTTTTAAACAGATTTCTTAGAAATATACATGTTTTTACAATGTTTTCAGAGCAACAGGTTTTTTTTATCCTATTTTATTAATAATTTCTTTAGTTAGTTATGTATGTATATAGGAGTGTTTAGTAGCATGTTTATTAGTTCAAAATTACTAACATCGTGTTTGTTATGGAATTTTTTGCTAAACTATTTATTTGTTTTTAATGCTGTCAGTGTTGTCCATTTACTTTTGCTATTTTGACTTTGTAAAACAATCATTTGCGAAATTTTTATTTTACTCAACTGCTTGTTGCACTTAAAATATAATCAATATCAATAATCTAGGTGCAATCGAAAAGTTTCCAATAAATGTCAGCCTCCATCAATTTTTTTAAAATATTTTTAATTGATTTATTTTTTAAATACATTAAAAAACATAAAATAGAAATTTTAAAAAAAAATTTAATTTCCCTGCATCTCTTTAGCTAACCAAAAAGTACCAATAAAATATACTTATTGTGTCATGATATTTATATTAGCTATAAAGAGCAAAGTGCAGACGAAACAGATTCAGATGATCTTGTTGAAATAGAATATACTGAAACTATAATGGAGGAAGAGACTGCAGAGTGCATTGAGAAGGTACTTGATCACCGTACTGGCAAAAAAGGAGGTACGTTTTTAACTATTTTTCAGACTGTTTTGATTTATTGTAATTTTCATTTAATTTTATAAAATAATTTTCATATAATGGTTTCAACTTTTTTTTTGCTTTCAAGTCGGACTAGGAAAAGGTCAGAAATAATTCAATTATTTTAATAAAAGTTCATTTTTAAATTGTAGTTCCCCTTTAATTTAAAATTATTAAAATATGTGATTAACTACTTGAGATGTTAACACAGCAATTTTTAAACTGTGCACTTATGTAAATGAGAGATATTAAATTTCTTGGCCAATTGCCTGTCTTATAAGGCTTTTTTTTTAATTTTCAAAAACTATTTAAAAATTTTATTTAAGTCTATCAAAAAATTGTTCCAACTCTAATTTAATTATTAATTATGGAAAATGAGCTGTTATCAAATTAAATAATTAGTTATGTATTTTGATTTAAAACTTTTTTTATTTTTTAAACTATAATGGTTACAGTTTATAATAAATGCTAATTTAAATTAATTAAAAAAAACTTTTCTGAAACTCTTCAAATGCTTTTACGGCATTTATAAATTAATTAAAACAATCATTTTTGATTTGTGTTATCCAAAACTGACATTATTGATGATTGGTGAATTAAATTTATGTAATATACTTCTAGCAACTGGAGCCTGTACTACTGTTTATGCTGTGGATGATTTTGGTGACCCAAATACTGGTGAAGCTACTGAAACAGAAGAACAATTTTTGATAAAATGGAAGGGCTGGTCTTATTTGCATAACACATGGGAAACAGAAGCGACCCTTAAAGAACAAAAAGTTCAAGGAATGAAGAAGCTTGAAAATTACAAGAAAAAGAATGACGAGCTGCTAGAATGGTATATTTCATCTTAATATTTTTAATTTGTCTTCTTTTTGGTGCTCCATAATTTCCTGTTCAAAATTTTATTTTAACCCTTGGCATATTGTTAAATTTCTTGATATAGAAATGATCTTTAATTGCACTGTAAACAACAACTCGCAATGGAATGTTGACATATATGCCAACTGCTCCAGACACGCCAAAATAATTAAAGAAACGGTAAATAACTACAAACTAAATTTTGCAAATATTTGAATATATTTGCTTGCTTTTTAAAAGGTATGATTACTGTATGACATGATATGACTACTATAAAGTGGAGAATTATATACAGGGCTGATTGTGCTCCGGAAAAAATCCGGATTTCCGGAATTTTTGCTAACAGTGATCCGGAAGTTTCCGGAGATTAAAGGTCCGGACGTTTCAGAAAATTATTGATCACAGAAGTTTCCGGAAATCAAATTTTCAAAGATGGAAGTTAAAAACATAGTTTATTTTATTTGTTTGTAAGGGAGAGCCAGGGAGATATTTTATAAGCTTATATTCATGATTAATATTCATTTTTTATCAGTAAATAGTTCTTATAATCATAAAGACTTATTTGAAATTTTAATTACTTCTCCAGGTCATCATAGGTATGTGTAAAATTTTAAATATATTTTAAGTAAAGTAAGAAATATTGAGAAAAAGGAAAAAAACCTTGTTTAAATGTTTTTCTAATTTTTCANTTTTTTTTTTTTTTTTTTTTTTTTTTTTTTTTTTTTTTTTAAACTCAAGAAATTTTCCGGAATTTTGACTTGGACTCACAATCACCCCTGTTTATAAGTCTACGAATTATTTAGAAATAGTGGCGGATAAAAATCTTCTAAATAGAATTTATTAAACCAAGAATCACAATTGATAAACTACAACTTTAAAATATTTATTTGCTGTCCAGAGCAAGTTGGCATCTCTAGACGTCTGAGGCACGTCAATTATAGTTTTGACATAAGAAACCAATTACGTCTCCCAGACGTCTTCGTATGTTAAGGGCTTGATAATTAAATTATTCAGAGGTGTCAACTATTTCAAACAATTTACTTTTTTGCAGCTCAATGCACTAATTGATAGATCTTTTAATTAATCTTACTTTTAAATCTTTGAATCAAAGTATTGTCTTCAAGAACTTTTGTCTAAAATATCATTTTTTAACCTTTATTTTTTATATGTTTTATTGCTGTTTAGATAGATTTTAATTTTGTTTTTGAATTTGAAATAATGTTAGATTGTAAATATATAATGTGTGAACAGTGTACTCTTTATTTAAATGTAAAGGTTAAATGTTTTTTTTTTTCAAAGGAAAAAAAATTTAAAATTATTTACTCAAATTATTTATATGACACTTTGGATTGTGCTGGGGAAAAATGCTAATAATGTGATTTTTTTTTTGTTTTGTTTGTTTTTTTGGTTGTAGACTTTTACAAGCTCTCAAGATAAATAGCCTGCAGACTTTGCCGTATTATATTCTAATAACATCATTAATGTTTTTTTTTTCTTCAAGATCAAAATATGATTTTTTTTGTAAGAAATTGAAGAGATGTTATATGAACTATTTGAAAGTAAAAGTTTTAGATTATTAAAGTGATAAAAAATTTTTTTATATTAATTTAAAATGTCAGCTTTTAAAAAATTCTTTATTAGTATTAGTCGGTATTTTTGTTTTAGCCCAAACTTGTTTTAATTTAGCTTTTTACTAAATATTGACTGCCAAGTTTTGTCTAATTATTTTCTACAACTTTGTGTACCAAAATTATTACTTTTTTATTATGTTTTCAAATAAATTTCAATTTTTTTAAAATTATTAATTTAAAAAGCATCTAAAATTTTTAGAATTTTTTTAAAAATTTGAATTTAGTTTTCTACTTTTAACTGTTTTTTTAAATCAATTAACAAAGTTTTTTCTTTAATTTTGTACTATTTTATACCTTTTATTAAATGTTTGAAAAACCTTTAATTTTATTATATTCATGTCTAATTATTCTACCTTAGGAAATCTTTTGCTTCTCCTGAAGATCTTGAATACTATGAATGCCAGCAGGAGATGTCATTAGATGTTCATACTCAACATATGCACATGGAAAGAATTATTGGTAATAATGTTTTTTATAATAGTAGCTATAGTGTTCTGTTTAATAGATAATGTATTTTTGCTAATTTAAAGATATTTTCGACAGCTCATGGCCCATCGAAGAGTGGTGATGGTACTGAAACAGAATATTTTTGTAAATGGTCTGGTTTACCGTATATAGAATGCACTTGGGAAGAAGGTAGTCTAATATCCAAGAAATTTCAAAGTAAAATAGATGAATATTTTGTGAGGCAAAAAAATCAGAAGATACCGAGCAAAGCTTGTAAAGTTAGTATAGTAAATGTTATCTGTAAATTAATTTTGCTTTTATATTTAATTTCAAATTTTACTGTTTAAGTTTTATTTTCTTTGTCAATTTCTTTCATGTTAAAGTTTAACTAAATTAACCTGTTTTGAATTGGGAATTATATCTGAGAATTTTTATCTGAAAAAGGAAACAATGGTAATATCAGATTATTTGAAATTTCTTATGAAAATATTTGTTGCAATTTAAATGAATATGGCATGCTATTAGTTATTTATTGAACAAAGACAAACTACATATCTAAAATGTACAGAATTATAGGATGCTTATCTTCACGGTCCTAATTTTTAAAGCATTGCTATAAATAAAATGAGTAACTTTTAGGTACATGACTTCTGTCATTTATTTACCTATCAATTTATTTTATTCAGTATCGGAATATTTTTTTGTTTAGATAAAAATTTGGAAATAAGTACAGTGTTCCCTCGTCACTTCGCTCTTCATGTTTTGCATCTTCAGTGCTTCGCAGGTTTTTCCGAAATATTCATCAGAAAATAAAAATGAAAAAATAAAACCATGTCGGCAGCCACATTGCGGAAAGGAGCGTTGTTTTATGTTGATGTGCGAAAGTGACGGATCCCTGCATGTCACCCGAAGAGATGAGTTGACTCAGAGTACATATACTACGGGCTCTCATAAAGGTCAGGCTTCAAGGCTCACAAAGACTATATGACTGTCATCACGGCTGGCAATGCTGCAGGTTTTAGGCTTAAGCAGGTTTTAGGTTATTATTTAAAGCCAAAAATCCACGGGCATTAAAAAACAGAAATGCGGCTCTGTTGCTCATGTTCTGGATGCATAATTCCAAGGCCTGGATAGTGAAAGCTCTCACCCTTCAATGGTTCCTCCATTGTTTCATTCCCCAGGTGAAGCTGTATCTGGCGAAAAGGGCCTCCCTTTTAAGATCCTTCTCCTGATGGACTGTGCAGAAGGCCATGCAACAGACCTGCAATATGACGGTGTTGAGTTCTCACCGTCAATGGTTCCTCCATTGCTTCATTCCCCACGTGAAGCTGTATCTGTCTGAAAAGGGCCTCCCCTTTAAGGTCCTTCTCCTGATGGACTGTGCAGGAGGCCATGCAACGGACCTGCAACCCAACCTCAGCACCCCCAAACACTACACCTCTAATTCAGCCAATGGATCAAGGTGTCATTCGTGCCTTTAAAGCACTCTACACTAGGACTGGGCTTTATACCGATGTAAGACAATATATCGATTTAACTCCAACTCAACAAAATTCCGGAGTGAGCATTTCGACTCTACTAAATCGATTTATTCATGAGTGCAAACGCGAAATCGCCGTTGCTCTCTCCGATGCAGTGAAACACCGGTTTAATCATTGCGAGAATGTACAGAACAGAGTCCAATCTGCCGTAGCATAAGTGAAAGATTCAAGGCCAACTATCAACTCATTCTCCCGGTAACACGTGCATTCAACTTCTTTGGCTATTTGCCAAAATCACATCTGGTGCNACAATACATTTGAATAAAGGAAGGGGTACTGTGGATTTATTTCTTAGTTTTGTCGTTTAGATTGTTAAATCGATATAACCTAATATCGTGATATAAAAGGGTTGATTATATCGATTTAAGAAATTTCTATATCGTCCAGCCCTACTCTACACTCAGTTTTGTAATTAACCTTATTAATTAGCACTGACACGTTTAAGTAAATACGTATACTGTTGTAATTTTTGTCTTAAATGTGTAAAGTATAAATACCGTATACATATTTAAACCATTCGTGTACCCGCATACACGAAAATTCCTATTGGCAAAACCTACTTCGCGGTTTTTCAGCTTTCGTGGAAGGTTCTGGTCCCCATTAGCCATGAAAAACGAGGGATCTCTGTAGTTAAATGTTATTTTTCCTTGCTATTTTAGTCATTGTTTTTCATTCATGTTTTACTGTAGAATATGTTTCCTTTTAGGACAAAAACTAAGCAAACTTGATTAGTGCTACTGTAGTTAAATTAATCTATTTGTTTTTTATATAGGTGCTTAAGATCCGTCCAAAATTTATACCTCTTAAAACTCAACCTAAATATGTTGGTGGTCCTAATGATTTGGAGCTCAGGGACTACCAATTAGATGGTCTTAATTGGTTGGCAAATTCTTGGTGCAAGTTAGTACATGCCATTTATTTAATTAAAGCATTTAAAATAAATTAAGAATGGAAAAGCTCATTATAATTTTTCTATTTAGGGAAAATAGTGTTATTTTAGCTGATGAAATGGGACTGGGTAAAACTATCCAGACTATTAGTTATCTGAACTATCTATACAATCAGCATCAACTTTATGGGCCATTTCTATTGGTTGTTCCTTTATCAACAATGACATCTTGGCAAAGAGAATTTGAACAATGGGCCCCAGAAATGAATGTTATTATTTATCTTGGTGATGTGAATAGTCGAAATGTGGTAAGTATTGCTCTCAAACTAAAATTTTCTGGAAGTGGAAATATATTTATTATGAGTGTGCATGCTTAAATGCTTGATTTTCTCTTTTCTGTATTTTTGATATTTTAGTTTTTCTTCTTTTGAATGTTATTGGACTGTTTTATTAATTTTACTGCTTTTTTATGTTTTAAATTTCTATATGCATTTTTTATGTTATTGATGTTTAAAATATACATGCTGGCCAGGATAGCCTGGTTGGCAAGGTGCTGGACTCATGTTTGTTCGAACGAGAGTTTGAATCCAGCCAGCCGAAGGCTCCCTGTAAAGTAAACTCTGGTGGTACTGAATTGTAGATTGAACATTCTCTGGTTCAGGTCAAAATTACGATGTGTGGACGAATAGATGGATGTATGAATGAATTCGCCCTATAAACGGGTGAGACGTATGGGTGTGGCAAAAGTCTAATTCTTGGCCATAAATATAGCCACTGGAAAAAAAGAACAATCGCACCCCTTATGCCTCAATGGTTGACGACAACAACAAGAAATATGCATGCTTATTTTAGATTATTTTTTATTAAAAGATTGATAATGTTTAATTTCACAAGCCACATATTTGTTTGAAACCCTTGCAGTGACATTGATCTTTTATTTTTTAATTAGTCACCTTTGTCAATCAACTGATTTGTCTTTTAGATGCACCTCATGTAAGGAGCACCGCTGCTTGCAGTTGCATTATTCTAATTAATTCTCACTTGTATGCCAAAAATCTTATTATTTTTACTAATGTATTTAGAATTTCAGAATTTCTCAATTCTATGTATTATTACATAAATCAATAATTATAAATATCAGAATAATAGACTTATTTTCAAATGTATGTTGATGCATTATTTTTAAACAAATGCTTAAAGAAGTGGAAACGATATATTATTGGGATAAAAATCTTAATTGATGCAGTCAATATTCTCTCTCTTCAGAATTAAGAATCCCTGTTTTCAGAGTTTGTGTGATGTGATGCCTATGCACAGGATTGAATGAAGGGTTCTGCCATCCGTTGTGGGGAGATAACTTTTCCTGAAACCAAACATCTCCAATAACTTAAGTTCTAATCAATAACTTAAAAGTTTGGTTTCGAGGAGATAGATTCAGATTGACATCTGGCAGCATGTTTCATTTCACAGCTGTTGGCACACAACAAGGTTTTTATATTATTTGTTGTTGAGATAAAAAATATATATATATTTATATAGATTCCTTTAAAAATGAACTGACATAGTGAAGATATTACATTCCCATGCAAAGGGGAAGAATATTAGGTATAAGAGACTTTAATTTAAAAAAAAATTCAATAGTTTTAGTGTAAAACACAGATGCTATTTTTGTGGTTTAGAGTAAATTTGTTCTAGATCGCTTATACATTGTTGCTTTATTCTTCTTCTTGCTTTCTTTCTTTTTTTTTTTTNTTTTGCTTTTTTTTTTTTTTTTTTTTTTTAAGAAACTTCTTTTGAATTATTATTTATTTTTAAAATCTGTACTGAACAAAGTCATTGCGTGACAAATTTTATTTCTTTTTTAGATAAGGCAATATGAATGGCAACATCCTGGTAACAAAAGGTTGAAATTCAATGTTCTAATTACTACTTATGAATTGCTTCTGAAAGATAAGGTAGTTATTAAGATTTTGTCTTAGAAAATATTTTTTATTTTTGAATTTATTTTTTATCTTTTTTATAGTTTTATTCATTTCATGTTTTGAAAGTTGTTCTGTTAATACTTCTCTTATGAGTTTATAAAACCAAAACCCCCCTTCTAATTGCACATGTGCCCTAGTTAAGCGCTTATCTTTTGGCAACAGTTTGTTAGAACACGTCTCTTCTTTAGCTGTCGCACTTCTAAAATTTCTGATTTGAACGAAATGTGTCTTTTTGTTTTTTAGCTTCAAAAATTATGTGATCTTTTAGTGTTGCTTTACTGTACATTGTAGGTATTGATTCCCGTCTTTTGAAACTATATGCTAGACTTATTGATGAAATATGCTTCAACAAACCTTTTTATTTACAATAAAGTAAGGTATCCAGCTGGGTGAAAATTGGAAATATTTAGAAAAATTAAATTTTTTAAAATTTATGTTTGAAAGTTTATTTAATTAGCTTTCAGTATTCTTTAAATTTTTGCTCTCCAATCTTTAGAATCTAAGTTACAGTTGTTTCTTTGCACACTAACAGACAAAGCAGAAAAGTATTACTTACTTTAAATACATTTTCAGAAAAATTTTTATTTTGAGAAGATCTCTTTACCCCAACACACATTGTAAAAAAGTTTATTATGGAATTATTCGACACATCACAAAAACGTATGTTAAGGAATTATTTGAAACCTGCTACGTAGATTTTATATATTGTTTGCTATGTTTTAAACTAAAAATTGAAGCCTAAGTGAGAATTTATTATTTTTATCTTACTTTATAATTGCGAATGTTAAAATTTTTATAAAAAAAATCAATACTGACCAATTTATTATCTCTTTGTATATTGGAAATACTGTGTGAAGATTTTTCTACACGCAGGTAACCATATTATGGATTTAAAAACAATTTTGATATTTATGCATTACAATTGGTTGTACAGTTGTTAGTGTGACATAAAATTTTTTTTAGTTTCTATGCTCAAATTTGCTCTTATTTTGAAAAAATATTTTATAAAATTTTAAAGTGCAAATTTAGAAGTTTTTCTTTTCAAAATTCAAAATTTTAATTAAGGCTGTTTTTTTTCCCTTGTAATTTAGTCAGATACCTCAATCTCTTAGTGCCCCATCTATTAGATTTCTGCAAGAGAGTATAATTTAGCATATCTAATTCTATATATATTTGATTTTTCCTTTTATCTCTTAGGCATTTTTGGGAAATATAAGCTGGGCTGTTCTTGGAGTAGATGAAGCTCATCGATTAAAAAATGAAGATTCATTGCTGTATAAATATTTGTATGAGTTTGATACGAATCATCGTTTACTGATCACTGGAACACCCCTTCAAAACTCACTTCGAGAACTTTATGCTCTTCTGCATTTTATAATGCCTCAAAAGTAAGCTACAGCTGTATGGTTTAGCACTATGTTTTTCTCAAGTTTCTATATAGTTTTCTGCAATCTATGCTCAGTCAAGATCTTATTATAGACCTATTCTTATTATTACTTTTAGTATCTTCTTAATTTTGTAAATTTACCTATCACTTTTTAATCATTGCTTTTATATAAGTAGTAAAATTGATCAAAACTATAAATAATAACTGTTTATTTCTGTCAGTTATCTATTTCTGTAATGTTAGGCAAATATGTTATATTAGCATGATATGTAATGTATATGATGCAGGGGTGATTGTTTTCCAGTTTTTTTTAATCATTCTTCCGGATCTAAAAGCTAGAGCATGCCTGTGATTTTCCCCGCGAATATTTGTAGAATTCAGTCTCTCTCTAGACCATTGATCCGCAGAACAGAAACTTATAATCGTTTTAAAACTTTTATTAAATCCCATTAACAAGAGGTTTACATACATGTGATTCATCTACCAATTTCATTGATTTGGTTTGGCAGATTTTTTGGTTGTGCCAAAATCTGCTAATATTGCAATTCTTATTAATGTGGCTTTAATATCAAGGATCGATTTTTTGTATTAAATTATATGTTGTGATTCGTTTTCATAAGATTATAAAATCGTTGCATTGCGATACTTGTTCATGGGATTGAAAAAACAATCTTGCAATTTGCATATAGCCGTTTTTAAAACACTAAGTTGCGATTTGTATTCAACCAGTTGTAAAATCAAACACTAATTTTCGTATTTATACACGATTTAAAACTTACACATTGGGATTATGTTCATGCGATCTAAAAATTATGCATCGTGATTCATATTTACACAATTAAAAAATTCACTGTCACGATCATACCCACACGATTTTAAAATCCAGCGTTACGATTTATATTCATGCAATTTCAAAATCCACTGTCCCGATTCTTGTAAGAAAAAAGCTTTTTCTTGATTTAGTTACTATAATGTGTGATATTCCTAATTAGTAGGTAATTTAATTGTAAATGCTAATTCAAAAAATAATGTTATATATGAAACATGATAGGGATATAAACTGACTTATTGATTTTTGGTATATAAAAGTTTCAAGATTTTTCACTTGGTGTCACAATTACCCATGCTAATAGATATATATCATATTCCATTATAATATGTATCTCTTAGAGTAACATGATACAAATTATTTTTAATATTAATTGTGCATTATGATGAATAAAGAGAAAGGCTCCACTCTTTACTTTGTCATATAGCTTATTATTTCTGTTGTAATTAATGGAATAATTAACTGTATTATAATAATAAGTAATTATCTTTTGAGTGAATTTCTTATGAGCAAAAGATAATAAATGAAGAGTTGGATGAGGGATATCATGTTTATTTGGAATTAATTTCATGGTGACTTTAAAGGTTCTCCTCTTGGGAAGAGTTTGAAGAGGAGCATAAAGACACAGCTGATAAAGGCTATCCTAAACTGCATAAACAACTTGTACCTTATCTATTAAGAAGAGTAAAAAAAGATGTTGAGAAATCATTACCTGCTAAAGTAAGTTGTTTATTTTGGTACTGTTATATCACTTGGTATTATAAATACTCTTAGCATTTCCTGTCGTTTACATTAAGGTTAAAAAGAATTTTTAAACATAGACTTAAATTTACATTCTTATTTATAATGATATTCTTTAAATTTTATCAAAGATTAAAATCAAATAATTTAGTCTCCCACAAAAAACTTTTTTGCAAGCTTCCTTGTAGTTACATACAAATGCATTTTTAAATAATTATTCCTGTTTGTTTGAAGGAGATGCAGTTTTTTGTGTTATTACTTCTTGCTTAGTATAAGTTGTAATTGATTATATTTTTTTACTCTGCAAATCAGAGAGAAGCATTTTCTTCTCAATTTAACCTTTAACAGACCAATGACACTATATAAGCGGCATAGCACTTTTACTTACTGTTCCCATTGTCGCATTTATGGCAGCCTCTTATTACTCTTGTCATTTACGATTTAATTATAATTAATTGTTGTAATTTTGCTTGGGACAGCCAGGGTGGCTCAAGGGATAGAGCGTTCGTCTTCCAATGAGGTGAACCCTATTCGAATCCCAGCTATGACTGGTCAATACAAATTCGGCATATTGCTTGCACCGACCGCAGTGCTGGCATAAAATATCCTCAGTGGTAGATGGATCATGGATTAGAGTCCCCTTGCCGTCAAGCTTACTGTGGAAGGTTCTTGTGATTTTCTTCTCAGTGTAATGCAAATGCGGGTTAGTTCTATAAAAAAAGTCCACCAAGAAGGCAAATTTCTCCTTAAATTCTCATGCTTTCTGGATTGGTTTCAAAATTACAAGGCTGCGGAATTGAACATTAGTAGTCATGAACCCAAAAATTAAGCCTGCTGTATAACGGCATTAATATAATTATGCTTAAATGACGTTAAAGTTAAAATATTTTCAGACCATTAAGTATTAGAGTTTGAACTGTGTAATCAATGCAATTTTTTTTGCTACCACATTTCTTTAGCATACTAACACTGTGAAAAAATTTTCTAACTCAACCGAATTAGTTTTTTTTTTTTTTTTTTAAATCATTGAAATATTGATTTAAAATTTTGTAGCATTATGTACCTATTGCTTTAAAAAAAAAATTTTTTTTTTACACATTTTTATAAAAGCATAAAATATTTTTTAAGTAAGTCGGAAACATTTAGTATAATATTTGAATAATCTATCACCAATTTTATCTCACACACTCTTTCCTGTATTCCCACTTGTATTTCAAGAGTTACGATATGATATATGTTATTTAAAGAAAATTATCTTTTATTGATACTTTTTTTATAGGTTGAACGAATATTGCGTGTTGAAATGACGACTGCTCAGAAACAATTTTATCGGTAAGTATGTGTTAATCTTAATAATGGTAATATTATTTTAAATAATACTAATTGCTCAGTTATTGTACATATTGAGTTAATATTTAATGTATAAAATGCTTAAAACCACTTTTAAATATTGTGTTTTAGTGTGGTTAATATATTCATTAAAATATATAATAATATGAATTTAGAATAATGAACATTTTCAAATAATTTTTATTAAAGATAAAGTTGCTGCAAGCTACATAAGTTAATTTTACTTTCTTATACCCAAACGAAAAGAGTCAAATAACCTCATTATTCCTTGTTTGAAAATTGACTGAATTTGTTTGTAGAAATGACATCTTCTCCAGTTAAGTGGAAAACGCTGGGTTCTTACCATTTTTAAAGGTTGCTTATTTTGGATATCCATTTTTTAGAAGCCCTTTTTGATTGGGTGCTTTTAAAAAGTGCTTAATTTTCCCTTTTCCAAAATGAAATTTTGTTTTCACCCTGTCAATTTTAGCCACAAATTATTTAAAAGGTGTTATTGTGTAAAGTGTTTAAAAATTAATTAGCATTTTGTTAATGTGTGTGTATATATATATATGTGTGTGTGTTATAAAAAGCTTCAATTAATCTTTTTACGTTATTACTTTTCTGTAAATCTTTTCCTTAATTTATTATTCAAAACAAAATGCTTTCTCACACTTTTAAATTCACATCCTGTTCTTTAATTTATTTTTAGCTCAAGTATGCATTTTTAGTTCAAGTATGCATAGACATATTCCCCGTTGCTCCTTGTGGGAATCGTGCAACCTATTTAATAAACCAATTATAATTACTAAGATTTCCCTTATTCCCTAGAACGAGACATTTTACGGATTTTCTTTGCAAGATTTTCCCTAACCTTTATGGAGCAGCACGACGATTTTGTGTCACTCTCTCTCATTTCCATCATCACGTAATGATTAAATAAAATTAATTGCTCTTTTTAAAATCTTGTGCCTGTTTGATTTGGCTACACACCCTGGAAAAAAGTTTCTATATTTACTTTTTCTGTAATAATGTAGTTTCTAATGTAAAAAGGTTGCAAATAGTAGGTAAATAATTAATTGCTATTGTAATAATGTCAAATTTGATAAAATTTTGGGTGGGTATATAAAGAGATTAGATTGGATTTTTTCATGTTACTACAGATAGCTCATTTTCAAATTGATATTAATAATTTTTATATTTCAGTTATTAAGTTTTTTTTTATATATCAGTTTTTTAGTTTAGTTCATTTGTTTAAAATTTTTTACTTTTATAAATTATTTTCTAGTTGGATTTTGACTAAAAATTATAAAGCTCTTAGTAAAGGATTGAAAGGAAATGTTTCAAGTTTTTGTAATATAATAATGGAATTAAAGAAGTGTTGTAACCATGCTTTTCTAATAAGACCTGTTGATAATACTAATAACTTGGACCACTTACAAGTAAGTGATACTTTTTAGTTATTAACATTATTCTATTTTTTTTCTGTGATACATTATTTTTATAATCTTAGTAATACTTTTAAAAGGCCTATAGATAAATTTGTATGTTTTTTAAATTTTTTTTTAATCTAATAAATTATTTTTAATTTTTTCCCTGTTTTTTTTTTTTTTATTAAAAAAATGACTTTTGCTTAACATTCTGATTTCTGGGAATAATTCTTTTCGCTGCACATTAATTCTATAACTTAAATGCTTAATAAACAGGCTTTAATGTGATATGTTCAATATTGAAAAAAAAAAAAGAAAATCTGTATGTTGCTGCATAATTCTTTGTCCATCATTACATTTTAATCTTTAGTTTTACCCCTTACGGGGAAGTCAAAATTTGCTTCTTTAGAAAGTCTTTAGAGTGAGTGAAATGCTAAATTTATAAGAGGCACTTTTATTTCCTCCTTGTTTGTAAAATCATCACTGAAATTGAAGAGATTGTAATAATTGATTGAATAATGTAGTATTGAATTATATGTTAATGTTTTAGGAATTTATTATTTAAAAATGTTTTTTCTATTTTAGCACTTAATTCGTTGCAGTGGAAAGTTAGTGCTATTAGACAAACTCTTGTGCCGTCTAAAAGAAACTGGCCATAGAGTGCTCATATTTTCTCAGATGGTCCGAATGTTAGACATTTTAAGTGATTACATGCAGCTACGTCATTTTTCATATCAGGTAAATATCATTAAAAAAAAAACTTGCATTTGTTGATTAATTTATATTCTTATTCTATTTTTGTCAAAAGCAGAAAGTTTTGATTTCTTAGTGTATTTTTGTGTGAGTTTTATACTTTTTTTAAAATGAAATTCGGTAATTAAAGGTAAACATGAAACTAAAATTTTATGTGCATTTTCCAAATTGATATTTTTCTATATTATAATTAAATAATCACTCAACAGTTATTGATAAATATAGCAGGCATTTACCCTTTTTTTCTCTTGTCATATAACTGCTTACTATTATTAAACTGTTATGTATACACAGTAAAAACTCTTTTATTTAATAAAAAGGGAGAAATGGATACTTCTTACCTTTTTATCTCTGAGAGATATAGAGTGAAACCCCTTCATCATAAGTTTTTCTGTCTGGAAATTTTGTTCTTTTTAGTATTTCAAATAATTTTTAAACCTAGGTTTACATGTCAAGCAAACTTTAGTTTATGCAAATTAAAGTATCATTATTTAAAGTGTAGTTTAAAAAGATCGAATTATATATGTGTAGAGTTTAATTAGGTAGAATTATACTTTGTGCTGTGTCTGTGAATATGTACTTACTTTTACTACAAAACTATACTTATTTGGAAAGATATACATAAAATTTTATTTTTGATACTTCCTGTGTATTTAAAATCATTTCCATATGATAAAAATGTAACTAAACTTAAAATGGGACATATGACCAGGGCGTTTATATACATTTTAATTTTTTTGTTTTGAATTTAAATGTTTCTTTGCTTCTTGTTATTATCTTAAACCCTGCATTATTTTTCATTTCATTATTTTTTTACTATTGCTATGTGACTAATGTTTTAAAAATATAACATTTAGCGCTTGGATGGATCAATAAAAGGAGAAACTCGAAAACAAGCGCTTGATCATTTTAATGCTGAAGGATCACAGGTATGTTTTTTTTAAAACTTATTTTAATTTTCTATTTTTATTCGGCTAAGTTTGCATCCATGGTGTATTTCCATGTATATTTCTTATAATTTCACATTTTCTTATTTATTTGTTCAGTAATTAGTTTTTCATGTGTTCATAAAAATAATCTAAGTATGTTTATGTTTTTCAACTTGAAGTGTTTTTTTTCTTTCCATCATTAAGAAAACACAAGTTTTTATCACTTTCATTTGAAATATGTGCATTTGACTTATTCTTTTTCATTGTTATGGTTTATTTAAAGTTATTTTAATCAAACATTTTGTGCATTTAAGTTAAATTTTTCATCGTTTTGTTTTTGTACTAAAGGGGTAATTACTCCATGAAATGTTAGGTTTTGATTTAAAAGTACCTAAAAGAATTTGTTATTTAAGGAAAAAATTGTATTCTGAGAACACAAATTTTATTAAAAAAAGTAAATATAAAATTAAATTTATATTTATATGTAAATATTAACTTAATATAATTTTTGTGTATATATTTTAGAATACTTTGCGAGATGAGAATTAACAGACAGATATAATTAGAAAAGGTTTTAATGTTAAATTTTAAAAAAAAGATTTCTTTCAAGAAATAACTGTATTATGAACCCTCATTTAATCTTTTAATGATTCAGACAGATTAACAGATTTGCCAAACTTATAACTTCGTATAGAGAAAGAGCTAAATCATTCCTACTTTCCTTTGTCAAAAAGTGGGAGGATTTGTTTCACATTTTATATTATGCATTGTCCTCTTTTTAACATAAATTACTTTTTTCTCTGCCTTGTATTTATACTACTATTTTATATATTTTTAGGACTTCTGCTTTCTGTTGTCAACTAGAGCAGGTGGGCTTGGTATTAATCTTGCTACAGCTGATACTGTTATAATATTTGATTCTGATTGGAATCCTCAAAATGACTTACAAGCACAAGCTAGAGCTCATAGGATTGGTCAGAAAAACCAAGTAATATACTTATAAATTTATAATGCTTCACATTTAGTATTTCTTTTGTTTATTTTTTAATGTATTCAAAATGTTTTATTTGTAAAAATATTTAATCATTTAAAAAGTGAGTAATTTATTTTTATTTTTAGGTTAATATTTACCGTTTAGTAACTAAAACTAGTGTTGAAGAGGATATCATCGAAAGGGCTAAGCGAAAAATGGTTTTAGATCATTTAGTAATTCAAAGAATGGACACAACTGGTCGCACAGTTATGCAACCTAATAAAGCACCTGGAAATAGGTATAATATGTTTAAACTTTTAAATATTATTATTTAAATATTATTTATTTTAAATATTATTANTTTTATTTTTAGGTTAATATTTACCGTTTAGTAACTAAAACTAGTGTTGAAGAGGATATCATCGAAAGGGCTAAGCGAAAAATGGTTTTAGATCATTTAGTAATTCAAAGAATGGACACAACTGGTCGCACAGTTATGCAACCCAATAAAGCACCTGGAAATAGGTATAATATGTTTAAACTTTTAAATATTATTAATTAGTCTTAATTAGTTAAAATTTTCTAGGGCGGCACAGGATTAGCTAAATTTAAATATTTATTCATTGATTTCTTTTTAGGAATAAAGAATAATTTTATTGTTTATTTATGGTGTTATTTCAAAATCATTTAAAATCTATTCTTTTCATTTTTAAAATATGAATAAAGCACTTAGCTTTCATTTTATTTAAAATCTAAATGTTATATACTAATAATTGCAACTGAATAAAAAAATTTATTTTTGTTATTCAAATATTTTGTTTTAAATTTTTTTTTAACAAATTATTATTTCTTTGAATAAAGAAAAGTTAATGATTGTACAATACAGGACAAAGTTTTTCAGAGTAGTGATTAAAAAACGTAATATTTAGCTGACTTTAAGCAAAAATAAGGTTTTTTTTTTCAATACTCTCCTAGATTGTAAATAATACAGTATCCAAATGGTATTAATGGTCATATACGTAATAGTCATGGATTTTAGCTACATCCAGTGATTGTACTGTTTGCTGAAGATTGTTTGATACTCATTTTTAGTTAACAAATTTAAATTTTTTGTCTAAACAATATAAATTTAATGTCTGTATTAAAGGAACAACACCATTATCTTTGTCTTATAAAATTATAACAGTGTAACATGTATTGTTTATTTTAACGTTTAACTAAGAAACCAAAATCACAGGTGATATAAATAACACAAAATAATTTAATTCAAAATATTAGCTGATAACCCTGTAGACACCGACTGTAAATGTAATTTGATTAAGTGTTTTATTTGTTTTCATTATTAAAGAAATAAGCAATAGTAGCAGTGTAATTTTTTTATATTTACATGTTTATCTTAATACATTTTGTGTCTTTTAATTTTACAGTGCAACACCTTTTAACAAAGAGGAATTATCAGCAATTTTAAAGTTTGGTGCAGAAGAATTATTTAAAGAAACCGATGATGGAGATGAAGAACCTCAGGTGAGTTTGTCTAGCAATAAGATTTTTTTCCATGTCTAAATTGTCCAATTTGAAGGTGGTGTATAAAACATATATTTTTATATGATAGGTGGACATTGATGAAATTCTAAGTAGAGCAGAATATAGGGATGATCAAGATCAACCCATGTCTGTTGGAGAAGAGCTTTTATCAGCATTTAAGGTATTCTTTTACAAAACTTCAAAATATTGCATTTTTCAAACTACTGTTATTAAAGTACTAGATAATTTGTGATTCTAAAAAAATATTATAACAAATAAACAGTGCTTAAAATTTGTGCGATTATTTTAATTTTGTTACCTTTTCAGTATTTTGGGAGTATTTCAGAATTTTTTTACAATTTAGACACATATTAGTGTTTTTACTAATTTTTAAAGAGAGAAGGTTTTTTTCTTTCCATAAAGCATGAAAAAGGATGTGAGCAAGATTTGTTAATTTTTTAAACTTAATTTACAAATTTTTGTATTCAAACTCATTAATGTAATAAATATTGATACATTGATATCACCATATTAAAGTAGTTAATTTAGAATTAGTGAGTAAATTTCCAAAAAGATGATTTGATAAATAGTGACACTTATAGACACTGAGATTTTTGAAGAAAAAAAATAACAGTGCTCAATTTTTAAAATTTTGTTCCTTAATGTGATTAAATGTGAATAATATAATCATTTAATTATATTAAAAACAAAATTTAAAAAAATTATGCATTTTTTCAAGTTTATGTATAATATCTTATAAAAGCTTGGCATTTACTTTTAATGGAAAAGTTAATGATTTTTATTTATTTAAATTGTGTGTGCTGCTATTAATTGAGTTAGTTAGAATGCATTAAGGGTTCTTTTTGACAAGAATCAGCAATAAGAATTTGTAATATCAAACATCGATTTTTGAATTTTTATATGTGATTTAAAAACTATGCATTGCTAAAAACTATGCATAAAAACTATGCAACTGTGCAAAATCTAATTTTGCGATTCTTGTAAGAAGTAAGTTTTTTCTTTAATTCGTTACTCTAAAGGCGTGATATATTTTGCATTAGTAATTAATTTAATTATAAAAAATCAAAAAATTATGTTAAATATGAACTCTATAAATTGATTTTTTGCAAATAAAATTTTCAGTTTTTCACTTTGTGTCACAATCACCCCTGAAATATGTTTGTTAAGATTATTAACATTCATAAAGCGCATGATATATTTTTTCTTTTCTATTTATTTCCCAACACAATATTGGTATTATTATGGCATCTACGTCCTTCTTCTCTTATGTTTGACCAGTTACAATTCATCCTGAAATGCAATTATTTGTTATTAAAACTAAAAGAAGGCAACTGTGTCTATTATTTGTTTATTAAAAGGCGATAATTTTAAATATATCTATACTATTTTAACACATGATACAGATCACATGAAAAACGGAAAAACAAAGTATACACTTGGGAGGAGTCACAATTTAGTACGGGAGTAAGCTAAAGTACTGTTGAAATCTATCAAATTACAATGGATAAAACTGATGTATTAAAATCAATATAAGTTTAATTGGAGGCTGAAACTTAAGGTGTTTCTAATAATCAGCATCCAACTCCTCTCTGTTTCCTTGCACAATTACATTAGTTTTATTTTTATGATTACATCCACATTCTGCACTGTAATTTGCCTGATTTCAAATCATGTTTGTTCTTTAGGCAATTAAATAGTAGTTTTCACTCAAAGCGTATTTCTTTATTTTTTCACTTATGATAAGAATTCTAGAGAACAAAAAAATAAAGGGTGGTTTTTACGAACCACTCTGTGTTATCTCTAATTTTTTTTTCTTCAAGATTTTTCTTTTACCTTATGTGCTACTTCACTGCCAGATGATTTTATTAAATATACTAGTATTTCTTTCTAAGGTTACTATTTAGACTACTATTTTTAAGCTTGGGGGCAACTAAAGCAATTATTTTTGAATGCTTACTTAAGTAGAGGCCCTGCTTATTAGCCAATGAAACATTTACTTCTATGTGTTTTTTTTTCTTTCCATTTAATAAAGCCGATTTCTAAAATAAAATCTGACATATCCAAAAGTTTGTAATTTAATGCATCCTAAATAATTACAATGAAAGATAGTAAACTTATGAAGAATATGGAAACTGAAAATTTAATATTAATCCTCAGATGGATCCTATATAATTTATACTCAGTTTAATATTATGTTTTAATTTTTTTCAAGTTCATTATTTATTTAGTCGCTCCAAAATTTGCTGTGCTTCTTTATAATACCTTGAATTTATTTAATATAAATATTTGTTAATCTAGCTTTTGTTACTTATCAATGTTCATTCTCAATTTAATTATTAGGTGGCTAGTTTTAACTTTAATGAAGAAGAAGTGAGCATGCAAAGTTCTGGTGATTCAAAAGAACAATCAAATGAAAAAGATTGGGATGATATTATACCTGAAAAAGAGAGAAAACAGATAGAAGACGAGGAGCGAGAAAGAGAAGAATTAGAGCTTTACTTGCCTCCCAGGAGTCGAAAATCTGTTAAAAAGGTTAGAAAATGTGTTAATACTATCTTTACGCAAAACAATTTATAAATATATTCTTGAATTTGTCTTCATTTATTTATAAAACAGTGATTTGTAATTTTATACTTTATTTTTATTACATCTTTTTTTGTAATAATAATAATTGTTAAAGTACTTGAATGTCTATTAGTGCTTACAAAATTTTCCATTACAGTAATATCACTGATATTATTGTCAAGCAACTAATAGAACAGGGCATTGCATATTTACTAACTGAAATTGATTTTAGGAGAGGTATTTCTAATAATAGCTACAATCTTTAAATACTAAAATGCTAATTTAAATGCTAAATGCTAATTTAAATAAATTATAAAAGTCAAAATCCTAAAAATGAGAAATTTTTATACTTCCTTATATAAATTTTTAATGCATATTGACTACCATTTTTTAAAGCAAATGATAAAAATATGCTGGCAATAAGTATTAGGTGTTTTTTATTTTATATTAACTGTTAAAATTCATTTGTAAAATAATTTTTTCCCCTTTTAAAAAGCATTGTGGGTAAATATATTTAAAAACTAAAAAGTTACTAATGCTGTGAATATAGTAAAATATTTAGCATGGCATTTTTAATTTATAAACATTTTAGCTAATTCTAATTTAGCCTTGTCTTCAAATAATCAAAATAGGTTCAGTGAGTTCAGTTTTTAAAAAGAAATCTGATCAATATTTTATCAATATATGAATTTTTTACTGCAAAGAATGAGAATTATGACACTTTGAATAACTCTACAGTTTCAATGCTCTTAAAAATAGACATTTGAACAGAAATATGATAACAAATATTTAAAAGGGTTTCAGATGTTAAGGAGAATTTAGTGATATATTTTTGTATTCAACATGGTGCTATTTTTATCTTCAGTGAGCCACCAAATTATTTCTGATTTTGCAGAAAAAACACGCACAGTTAAATAATAAACAAAGCTCATACATTAACCCCTTTCATGTAAGTAATAAACAATAAAAAAAAAACTAATTTTTTAGCATTTTTTGATTTATTTTTGTGAGCTATGACTTTTATTTTTTATAATTTTGCTATCGTTGTCATAAAACATTCTGATTTAATGAGGTAATTTTCTTGGCCCCTGCATTCTTACAATTAAAAAGCATAGCCACATTGTAATTCTTTGTGTTCAATTTATACAATTTTTAATTAATGCAAGTAAGGCATCAAACAGAGAAACAAATTGTTCTTTGTGGTATTTTTTGGTAATAATGTTCTTTAAATCAGATACTCACTTGGAGATGCTACAATTATCAATGTTATTGTTTCCGTCTCAATTTTCTTTCAGTTCCTTCTTTTAATGCTTAAAATTAATTTGGATAACCATTTCATAGGAAACCAAAAATTCAGATAGTGAGTCAGCCAGCGCTGGGTCAGATAATGATGATTCAGATGAGGATCGACCCAAGAAAAGAGGTCGGCCAAGAATAGTTAAAAATGATGCTATCAAGGACTTTACTGATGTTGAAATTAGAAGGTTTGACTCTCTATATATTATTGTTTTTTTTAATACTTGATTTTAGTTACTACTTCAAATTGACAGGCTGTTTCAACTAGCTTAGGCACCTTATATTTTGATGCCATTTTAAATTTACAGAATGCTCTTATTGCTGCATGCCTATTGAATAGTGTATCATTTAAATAAGTCAGAAATATATAAGGCTTAGTGTGTTATGATCATTTTTTCATTGACTGTTCATCTTTATTGTTTTATAAATAATCTGTAATTAATTTATTTGCAGGTTTTTGAAAAGTTACAAGAAATTTCCTTGTCCTCTCAAAAGGTATCAATAAAATTATTATTGAACTCAAAGTATCTTTAATATTATAATGCAATGTTTTATAATATTTTTAAATTATTATTAACTGTTAAAAAAATTGTCCGTTTTACATAAACTAAATCTTGTTTTTAAATTTCAGATTAGAGGCTATTGCCATGGATGCAGAATTACAAGAAAAACCATTCAATGAATTGAAAAAATTAGCAGACTTAATTAAAAATGGTTGTGATAAGGCCATGAAGGAATTTGTGGATAAGAAGGACGAAGAAGAACCAGGTACATATTTTTTACTGTTTTAATTTAAGTGCACTGTTTAAACATATATTTAAAAATCTTTTGTGTTATGTATGTATGTTGTCAATATAATACTAGAAATATAGCCCATTCCTATAAATAAAAAAAATATGCAATAATTAACCATAGACAATTGAATGTTATTAAATTATAACAGAATATTTATATTTTAATCTATGCATATTTAACATATCTAAGCATATCTAATTTAATACCCAATTTACAAGTAAATTTTTTTGCATTTATGTAAAAGGTTTTAAAGATTGTGTAGGAAAATATAATATTATATGTTGAATATTTTGCTGCTTATAATGTTAAATATATTATTTTGAGAATAAGAAATTGAATCAACATGATAGCATATGATGACTTGCTGAAAAAAAATTAAGGATACTTCATTCTCTTCATAGAATTGTTTTTTTTTTTTTTTTTTTGTTAACTCTATTTACTCTAATTACCAAGATTTCCAAAAGATGTGGGTTCACTTTGTTCTTCCAAAATTAACTCAAAAGTTAAAAACAATATCCAAGCAAAAAGGAAAATAATTTGTTGTAGTGCTACGTTTATAAACTTATTCAAGAGTCTTGTTGCTGATATTGTGTAAGACTTGTGCCATGAAAACAAAATGAATGAACAGTATGGAAAAAAAATAGTAACAATTTATGATTATAGTTTAAATTTTTTCAACTACTGAATATATGTTTTGATAAGTCATATTGATCATTTATTGATATTATTATTACATTCTTATTTTCGGTCTATGTTCTAATACCTTTCTCTTTTTCCTTTCCAAAATGTATATAAAGAGTTCTCAAATTTTTGTCTTGTACACAAAAATATATAACTATATGTGAAAAGTTATTATAATTCTGTTTTTATAATTTCTCTTTTATCACTTTTTAAGCTGTGAAAAAAAGAGGAAGAGAAAAGGGTCCATCATTTAAAGTTGGTGGTGTTAACGTCAATGCTAAGACTCTTGCTACAGTTGAGAGTGAGTTGGAACCTTTGGACATCATATTGCCATCAGATCCGAAGGAAAGGAAAAGGTATTTTTTTCATAATTATCTTTACCTTATTTTGTTAATTTAAATTATTTAATTTATAATTCAGAGTGGTTTGTTATACATCGGTAGAAATATTGTTACACAATCTTTTAAAATACTTAATTTTTCATATATATTTTTGTATGTTTTTGCATTCATAAAATATGGTTATTACAAAGCTGCCACAGGCTACTATTTTCATCTTCCCTATACTACGGTTTTCTATTTTTTTAAAAAGCAAAATGATTACTATTTTCAACAAAGTGGTTTCAGCTGAAAAAAAAATGTTTTTTTTCTTTTAAATTTGTGGTTAAAATTTGCTTATTTTATTTTTGAATTGATTGCTTTGTTTATTTAAAAACCTCATTGCTCTAAATTTATGTGTGCTCATGGATGTTAATAGATTTTGAGTGGCATCAATTAAAATTTACTTATTATAATAAATCTGCAAAAACAGATTTGATGTGTGATACTTGGTAATGATGTGTTATGGTTGTTTAACACTTCCTCCCTCCTCAAAAAGTATTTAAATGCATGTTTGATAAATTATTTCAAAATGGAATAAGATTTTTTATGTTAGAGCTAAAAGCCTCAAAACTCATTAAAAAGTTTATTTAAACATTTTTTATACAGTAAAGATTTTGCCACTACTATTTACTTCCTATGTTTAGTATAACACTTTGAGCACTTATTATAGCATTTTAATTTTCACGTTCCATTTAGTATCAGCACTTTGAGGATACTGTTCAATTTATTTCTTTTAGTGTTTTAGACTATTAAAAGCTACTATTTTGCATCTATGATTCCACTTGTCAGAACAATATGAAAAATTAGCAAGAATACCTATAACAGTAAAATTAAAAATTAGCTAACTTGCAATATGGCAAAAAGATACAATGTGATCAAAATTATTAGTCTGAATCATATTATGTAAGACATTTTTACTAATTAATTCTTTTATTGAAAACTCAACTTGTATTTTAGAGCTATAATTTTGCTTTTGAAAAAAATAACAGAAAAATAATAGGCAAGTGCATTACATGATTGTGTATTAAAAATATCAAAATCAATTATTAAAGAGTTTAAGTTCATGTTAAGAAATTAATAAATCTTCATAAAATATAAGATGAAATTTATTATTTTTTTTTACTTATTAGCTGGGTATTGCGAGAGCATGTTAAAGATGCACATTTTGATGTTCCTTGGGGACCAGAGGAGGATTCTCGACTTTTGAGAGGTGTCTATGAGCATGGCATGGGAAGTTGGGAATCTATCAAAATGGATCCTAATCTTGATCTAGGAGAAAAGGTGAGTGAAAATAACTCTTCTAAAACATAGGAAAGGCTATTAACTTCTTTCTAGTCACTATTTTGATTTTTTGAGAATAATGCTAAATGAATTGAAAAGAGTTCTAATACTTCCACATAAAGAAACTTATAGTTTTGGCTTTATAATGAAGAGCTTTCTTCAGTGGCAAAACCCAAAAAAAGAGATACATAAAAATGCAGGAAGAAAATAACAAACATGTTACAAAGAAGAATTGATGAGTGGGAAAAAGCTAGAACCAACTTTTACCTCAATCAATTCTTATCTTTTTTTTCTTCTACTTTTTGGATTATCTTTTTTAAACTTGTGTTTCCTTCGTTAATTTTTTTGTTTCGACACTGAAGTAAGTTCTTCATGTAGCTGGCCTTTTAAATTTTCCTAATGAAATATTTTATATTTATTTTTAACACTTAGTTATGATTCTTGAAAGGCATAATTAGGTGAATTTTCCTTTTATCTTGAATACTAGACTTGAAAATTTTTAATATTTTTCTAGATTTTACCTGATGGAGAACAAAAGCCTCAAGCTAAAAATTTACAGACTCGTGTAGATTACTTATTAAAAATTTTGAAGAAAATGACTCTTGTGTCGCCTGGTCAAGTAAGTTCTTTCATTTTACTAATTTAGCATGGTTAAAATTAAACATGTCATTTTGCATTTTATTAATCATTCCCGCCAATTCAAGATATGCAATTGTTTATTGCAATCTTGAGTCTTATTTCATCTTGTTAATTAGAATGACTATTAATTTATTATTTCAAGTTTAGTAACATGTATCTATCTAGAGTAAGTACTATGTATCTATGATCTATCTAGAACAGAGGTTCCTAATTTAACTGAACTACATATATTTTTCCCGAATACCTCTTACAGGGATCCCATGGGTCAGCGAGAACAGGGAAAACCCGGAATTGTCAGTTAATTTTATTTTAACTCTAAGAAGCAAGAAATAGTCAAAAAAAACTTGGAAAAACTTCTGATGAAAAGTAGCATGGTATAGATTAAATATGGTATGGATTTTCATTAAAATGTATACCTAGAAAAGCCAGGGAATTTTTTTCTGAAATTGAGTGGGAGCCCTGTCTAAGAAATATTCTTACGAATTGATATCATGACCAGAAATTTTTCTTTCTTAAAAAAAAAATAACGTTTTTTATGCTTGTCTTGTTTGTAGTACAATTCAATGCTTTTATTTTTAAACGTATATGCATTCAAAGTCAAATTGTTTTGCAAAATAGATTTTTTTTTATTGTAAATTTTAATATTACAACCCTTTTGGTTTTAAGATATTCCAATAATTATGAGTTATAAACATATTAAATCTTTTTAATAATAAAAATGGCCTTAATTAAATAGTCTTAATTTAAATTCAGAATTCAAAGTAGAAAAAAAAAGAAACAATATCTTTCAATAAGAAGAATAGTATGTAGACCATCAAGTCTACTTTGCTAAAAGTTGGCGATATCCATTGTAATTGTATGCATGCCTTATAATTGTTCAATTATATTTATTCACTATACTAAGAATGTGGAAAAATATGAAATAGGTACCTGCGACGTAGCAAACTGCAATATTAGTAGGTATGTGTGATCTATTTATTTTTAATTTATGTTTATTGTCATTTTTTCAGGAAATACCAAAATCAAAACGTGGTCGTAAAGTAAAGACTGAAGAAGGTCGCAAAGTTAAGGCTCCCCGCAAAAGCAAGATTGAAACAAAACATATTAGTAAAGCTATTATTGATAACACAGATAGTGATGCTTCCGATTCCTCCGTAAGTAATTTTGTGTGTATATACAATATATAGCTTTGAAATAAAAAAACTTACTCAAAAAAGATAGGGTTCTTTCTTGTGCTGATTGTAAAGTGTAGAAACAATATAAAAATCACAAATATGCACTCTTCGACTGACTTATTTATGATTTTTATATTCTTTCTTTATGTTTAAGAATTTATTATTTATGTGTTATGCAATTAAATAATTTTTTTGTAGTTTCATTCTTGATTTATAATATTCAAAAATAATACTTACAGTTGATGATGTTAATTTTTAAGTCCTTATAGTAATGTAGTTTAAAATATTACAGACCACTACTAAAGAGACTGAAAAGCCTGTTGTTAAGCTTGAACCAGCATCTCCAGCTCCTATTAAATCAATAGTTTTAAGTGATAGTGAATCTTCATCAAAGAAAAAGAAAACAAAGAAAGAACCACCTGAGAAACCAAAACCACCAAAAGAAAAAGTAAGCTATTAAGTTTTTGCATATTTTTTTTTCTTAGATATTTTATTTATAATTATTTTTAAAAAGTTCCAGTTTAAATTATTAATTTGCTTTTTACTGATACTTTCAAAATATAATTGCTTATTAGTTGAGCTTAAAAAAATTAATTTCTTTAAAAATTTTGAAAAAACCTTTTAAAAAAATTTAATCTTTAAAAAGTATTTAATCTTTTTCATTGGGCTATTTAATTTGATAAAATAATTGCTGAATTTTAGATAAGGATTTGTGATGTACATGCTACTCTTACTTACTCTGCTATTCCAACTAACGTAATTCAACAATAACAGTAACTGTCTTTGTTATTTTTTTAATTGGTGGAACCTGGTGGTTATTTTTTTAATTAACCTGAACCATCTCAATTAAAGAAAAAATTACGTTTGTCTTTAGATTAAGTGAGCCACCAAAATGGCAATCTTAGACATTTTCTTGTTAGCTACCGTATATTCCGGCGTATAACGCGCACTTTTAATACAAAAAATAACATTGGAATTTACGGGTGCGCGGTATACGCCGAATATAAAAAATTATAGATTAAAAAAATTTCAATATAGAAAAATACTTTTATTTTAAAGAAATAACATACCTTTACCTATATACTTCATTGATTTTCGTTATTACATAAATAGTTCATTATATCCGTCTTCCGCTATCAATTACAATTATTAAAATTTTTTTGTATTATAATTACAACTTTTTTTGTATTATCTGTAAGGTGGGACCTAAACATGTCCCACTCTAAAAGGCTTTCTGGTTTTCTTACGCAACCAGGACGGATTTGCCAGATGTTTTTTACCCACAATTTAGCACCATTTTTGTCCATCCAGAATCACATTATTGCTCTTTCAATTCTACCNAGCGTCTCTTTTTATTAATATTTTTTACATAACATAGACATCTAAAATTTGCCCTGGTGTGTGAAACAAATTAAAAATGTAAAAATCATAAACTTTTAGAGCTTAAAGGCAATTAGAATATAATAAGCAACTTTTTAAATCAAATTTATGTACTTTAAATTACAGTGCATATTAATCATTGCAAAGCGTACATGAATAATGTTAAAAGTTCAATGTTTAAAATTGAGCTTATTTCAGAATCACAAATCGAACACTAAAAAGTTTAAGAGAGAAATATTACCAAATACAAACAGCACCCTGCCTAAAAATGAGATTAGTAACTAATTTTTAAAAAGTATGCAGATAAACTTTGTTTTTAAATAGATATTGCAACTATATAGTGATGATAAAAGTTTTTGTGATAAATGGTAAGAAAGTTTTTAATGTTTTAATTAATTTAACACTAAATGTGATGTAAAAAATGAAGTCTTCACTGTCATTAAGTTTAGTAGTTGAAAATATTTTATATTGGTAATAAAATTTAGCACTAACACGTGGTTATAAATTGTAAACTTTCATAAATTATCTTTTCTCGTTAATCTTTAGCCTTAGGACAAAGTTCTCTATTTTGATAAAGTTATTTATAGACATACACTTTTACTGTTTTCTTTCTCTTTGCCTCTCATTGTAATCTGATTTCTATTTTCAATTTTAAAAAAAAAATTTAAATGGACATTTTTCCATGACTTCAAAACCTACCATAAAAATGCAACGACTTTTCAAAGACTGATGGCATTCAAAATAAAAATATTTAGCATATAATATTCTACTTTTATCACATTTGTGAATATGTAACAGCTATTCATGATTGTTAAATTCAGTCTTTTTCATTTTCCTTGGCGGAAGGGTTTTATATAACATACATCCTTAATAGTTATTGAATTAGTTATTGAATAATATAATTATTGTTATTAATTGTAATTAATAGTTATGGAATTTTTCAGTATTCTTTGTTGCTTTCAACAAAAATAGTTTATTGCTCTTGATTTTTTTGTTTCTTTAAATATTTTACATTGGATAACTTTCAAATTAAAAGAAAACTTATTTATTCATTAATCTAGTGCAAAGAACAGATGAGGCCTGTAAAAAAATACTTGATGCGACTTGATTTCAAATCTGAATTGGAAGAAGAAAAGAAACGACGTTTTCCCCAATATTTGCTAAAAATTGGACGTAAAATTTCAGAAATCTTAAAGAGTTACAAAGATCCAGAATCAGTAAAAGAATGGAGAAGGTATGTAATAAAATTAAAAATTATGAGCATTTAATTTTTATGCATTTAATGTATGTCTTTCTCTATTTGCTATTGATAAATACTTATTTATTATTATTTTTTTTTTAATTCTCTTGACAGTAACTTATGGATTTTTGTTTCAAACTTTACTGAGCAAAATGCTAAGCAACTGTATAAAATATATCGTCAAGCTATTAAAGATATAGAACTGGCGAATCGTCCATCTGAGTCGAAGAAATCAAATGATAACATGGAAAGAAAATCTATTCTTGATGTAAGTAGTCTTTATGTTAGTTGGATTCTTAAAGACATTAGTTATAGTACAAGTAATGTAGTAAAATTCCACATGTACACTGCAATATAAATAATAATCTCAGATTTCCACTGTTCAGAATTCCACAGTTGAATAATTTAAGCCCAATTTTTTGCATTTTAGAAAATTTTTTAACTTTTTGGGTTTTTTTTTTCTTTTTCATTTTTGATTATGTTCAGTAGTCATTTTATTTTCCTTTTTTTTTGTTATTTTAGCATATAACATTTATTTTAAGCTTAAATGAACATGCAATATGTACTGCATTGCAATTAATTTTAAGGAGGAAAACAATGTTTCATTTTAATATTTTTAATTCATTAATGGGGCAATTTTCTAGGGCATTTGTTGGGATTCTCTACATCATCAAAATCAAGGCTCTAATAATATATCTAACTGCCTGTCTATTTTATATCTAGGTGCTGTTTTAACATGTTCATTATTAAATATTTCGGTGAAATTTGCACATGTGTGATTTCACTTTTTTAGTTCTCAGAGTTTTTACCCCTTGTCTCTTCATGAATTATATTTTGTAATTAACATTAACTATTATTGCACTTAAACCATATTTTGAAATTAGGCTTATCCTTTAACTGTTTGAAAATTTTCAGATTGGCACAGGTCAGAATTCTAACAATTACAATTTCATTGTTAACTATTCTGGGGAATAGTAGGGGGTAGCAATTTAATTTCCATTGTAAAGTTTAAACTTTTTGATTTCAGACTAGTCCCAAACAATCTATACCTGATAAACAGAATAGCAAACATCGTTCTCAACAAGGGTCATCCAATAAAAGGTCAGCTGAAGATGATCCTGGTAGGAAAGGTGATCGACCATTAAAAAAGAAATACTCAGACAGTCCTAATGACAGAAAAATATCTGAAAGGAGAGATAGGTAAGAAAAGCTTAATGTTAATGTTTAAGAGATGTATTTACTATTAAACTAAATCTAACAACATTTTATGGCTTGTGTTTAATGATTTGCAGATAGTTGCTTTTCCACTTGGAAGATATTTTAATGTTTTCCTTTTAATATTTTGTTTTCATGTGTGTTAGGACAGTCCACTGCACCAGAGAAGAATCAGGGTGAACAATAAACAATTGAAAGTGAACAATAAACGACTTAAAATTTGAACTGTAAAAAAAAAGGACAATTTTAATTATAGTCTGATCATAGAGAAATAATTATTGTTCTTGCTTCCTCTCAATATAATTTGCTAATCTCTCTGTTATCTTAGTAGCTTCTTTCTAGTCCTTGATAGGTCAAAAGATTGTTTGAATTCAAAATATTTTGCTTGGCAAATTGAACATACACTACCCTACAATAATGGAAGACACATTTTCACTTTTTGACATTTTTTAAAATTCCTCAAAAATAACTTAAAGGATTATTTTGTAACTTGTGTTGTTTAGTTCATGCGATTTTTCTTAGCTTGCAATAAAGTTTTAAAGCTTTCAGAGATTTGAGGGTTCGACAATAAATTACGAAAGAAAACTAGTATGTTCAAACATCTTATGCCAGCAAATCAAGCAATAAGCTTGTATTGATTACTTTAATTGTTATATGCAAGAAACTGTATGAAACTTCTTAATTCTATCTTAAATATTTATAGAGATATGGAAATTTTTTAAGAAAAAGTAATTATTTTTTATCTTACGTTTTTCGCTATAACTTTAAAAATATTCAGTAAAATTAAACAAAAGTTTTTGGAGCAATTTAAAATTAAATACAAAATTTTGTTTTAAAATTTGATAAAAGTTTGCTTCAAACTACGAGGGATATGAGTATTAGAAGTAGTTCTTTTGTACTGCGCGTGCGCGAACAATTTAAAAAGCTTTTTCTTCCTCATAATTATGTAGTGAACTGCATTTGGCAACTAATGAAAGAAGTCTTATTTCAATATCTTAAAAATGTAAAAAGTTTTGAGTAATTGTCTATATACTTTTTGTACTTCTTTAAATGATTGATTTTTGTTTTTAGATCTAAATTGCTCCAAAAATTTTGTTTAATTTTTCTGATTATTTTTGAAGTTATGGCAAAAAAAAAAGCATAAGACAATTATTATTAATTTTTTTAATGTCTATATCTGTATAAGTATTTATTTAGGCCTCCAAAATTTATGCAGTAATTGTAAATAAAAACTAAAGTAATCAATACAAGTTACAATCTGGTTGCTTGATTTTCTGGCATAAGTAGTTTTAAAAAAATAAATAATTGCTTTCTTTCATTATTTATTGTCGATCCCTAAACCTCTGAAAGCTTTACATCTTATTGCTAAGTTTAAAAAAATCACATGAACTAAACAACTCGAATGTTACAAAATAATCCTTTGAGTGTTTTTTGAGAAATTTAAAAAAATGTCAAAAAGTGAATGCTTCTCTTCTATTATTGTTGGGTAGTGTACATTGATATAGAGTAATTCTATTTTGACTAATGTTCTGCCAAGCAGTCAGTGCCAGCGTGTAGTCTGAAATTTGACAGTCAAAAATTAGCCTGTAATAAGAAAACTAGTCTCTTTTCAAGTGTTAAATGGATTTATAAACTGTGTTAGTTTTAACTGTGTTTCTTAAAAATAATGTTAAAAAATAGTATAATTATTAATGTAGAATTTTTAAATAGTTTTATGAATTTAATATGATATAAATTATAAGAGGAGCATTTCTGTTGGGTAATTTAGAAGAGTTCATAATAGAACAAAACAGTTTGTTATTGATTTTCAGTACTAATTTTCTTAAAATTATGAAATTAATACTTTTACGCTTAGTTACCTTGAAATAGTGTTGTCAAAAATACATAATTTTCAATTGCAATTTAGTTATATATTTATTTTGACTTTAGTGATAGTCGAAGTTCAGACAAGAATTTGTATCCACAAAAAAGTCCATCCAATAGTTATTCTGGTGCACCTCATCATGGTTATTCAAATCATAGAGATGGTGTACCAAATAAGATGAAAATGGATCGTTGGAACAATTCAAATCATTCGAGTGGAAATTGGTCAAAAGATAGGCAAGTATATTATACAGTAGTACTTTCTGTGTAATCACGCCTGCCTAGTATTTTAATTTGCATTTTAGTAATTCGTTAAAATAAATTTATATTAACACTAATGTAATAGTTTTCTTCCGAGAAAAAGAAAGAAAATTATCTGACCATAATTTCCTGATTTATTTAGTAACTAATTAATATTTTGGAATACCGTGTATCTCGGTGTATAAGTTGACCTGCCATATCAATGATTACAAGATAGCAAATTTCTAGTATGTCAGGCTTATACCTCGACAGCTGAAAACACAAATCTGAATATTTCTTAAAAAAAATTTATTGAATCTACAAAAAAATTTTAAGTTAAAAATATTTCACATTGTTGCATCTGGATATTATTATTTTTGCTCTCAAATTAAGGTGTTGTGAGACAATCCTCAAATAAAGCAAAATAATGTTTTCTGAACGTAATTTAAAGTATTGTTTCTATCAAAAAAACTTAACATGCAAAAAAAAAAAAAAATAATAATAATAAATAAAAAAGAGAGAGGGAGAGAGAAAATATAAAATTAATGGTATATAATATTTTAAAAATATTTTTTTGAAAGAGGTAAATTTATACAGAGTTATTCATATCTATTTTATTGCTCATGATTTATCAATATTTTACGATCAATGAATGTCCGACTGATTGGGGGCGTATAGGTCGACCCCCTGATTTTCGTAAAAAGTTTTAAGGTTTGAAAACTAAACTAACACAATATATATTAGATTATATCTTAATATGTTATTAGATTAATAAATATATATTAGATTAATAAAAATTCATGCTGTTGAACATAGCTCCCAAATTTAATGGTTGTAAGCGTTTAGAATTCAAGTACTAAATTTTTTTAAAATTAAAATTTGATAATTATTTTCATATTTTTTTTATTACTTATATATATATTTATATATCTTTTTATATATATATTTTACTTATATATTTTTATTTAACATCTTGCTTACGGCACTTAGCATGATGAAGTCATTCTGGTCCATTTATTGTACCAGCTGTAAGCAATGGGTTAATAGAATGCTTAGCAGTGATTTCTTACTATAATGAATCAAAAAAGATTCACAAATAATATTGATTAGTTATTTATTTAAAAATAATATTATGTTCTTATGATCTGTCAGTTAACATGTCGGAAGCAGAATCTTTCTTTCTGAATGCTGAGGATCCTAAACATAAATTTCGCAATTGATTAAGAGATAGAGTAATGAACATCCTTAATAAACTTGAAATTGTAAAAAAAGAAAAAAAATACGGTCCCTAGTATTAATAATTTTTCGTGGCATAAATTTAGACCTCTCGGCTTCCTATACACTGAAACTATATTCCTGAGATAGAAAAATAACATTAGACTGTATGCAACTATAACTGCAACATGTATTCAATACAATAAATTGCAATTGTCCAAATGTTCTTTCTTTGTTTTTTGCCTTGATATTTTTACATAGCTGCCAACTTCTAGATTTTTGCAAGTTTCTTTTACTCTTCAAGATTCAATCAAGAATCATGGAAACACTTCTATACTGACTCATTTACTTCATAATTCTTAAGAAATACTTAGAGAATTCTTTTAAAACTTTAGAAGCGTTGAACTCATTCGATTTCTTGTGTATATCTATGAAGTTTAAAGTTTTAGAAGTTTGAGGGACCGGCAATAAATTACAAACAAAAAAGAATGTTTTTGAACACCCTATGCCAAAAAATCAGCAATAAGCTTGTAACTCATGTCAATTATGTTGGTTCTCATATTCATGGAGATATGAACGTTTTATAAAAATTAAATTTTTTGACTTATGTTTTCTTACTATAACTGAAGAAATATATTCAATGAAATTGAACAAAATATTTAGAGTCATTTTAAATTAATAATAAAATATTTAAGAATTTAAAAAACAAAAATATTCGTTATAAATTGCGGAAGATATGAGTATTTAGTTTAGAATCGTATTTTGGTAACCTATGACAAAATTCTGATTTGAATATCCTAAAAAATTTAAAAAGTTTCTAACAAATTTCTTAGTAGCTGTTGTACTTCTTATTGAATACTCCAAATGATAAGGGGTTTTCCACAAATGATAATACTCTAAAATGATGGTCCGGACAACAAAATGTGATGATATTAGGAAATAAAACATGATTCAATAGGGTGTGGTCCTATGTTCTGATAATGATGCCAATACGTCATTCAAGCATTGATGCCGATTTCGATAATAATGCCATTATCATTTTTAATAAATCTAATTTAATAGTACGAAATTTAATTTGTGGAAAACCCCTTACCATTTAAAACTTTCTTTCCAAATTAAGAAAAATTCCTTAGAAAATTGTTAGAAGCTTTTTAAATTTTCAAGATATTTAAATTTGATTTTTTTTACATAAGTTATCAAATTTGATTCAAAACGAAATTATGAAATTTTTTTTTAAATGTTTTCTGCTATGTAGCCTAAAAATATTCTTTAAATACTCATACCTTGCACAATTTAAAAATTTGTTTTCAAAATTAAAAATTACTTTTTGCAAAATTAAAAATTACTTCTAGAGAGAATTATTTTATTGATTATTTCTGCAATTATAGCAAAAAAATGTAAGTCTAAAAAAAAAGTTTTTTATAAAAATGTCCACATCTTCATGGATATTTAAGTTAGGTTTATGAAATTTTGTGCAGTTATTTTATATGATAATCAACGTAATTGAGGTGAGTTACAAACTTATTATTGTATTTTTTGGCATAGGGTGTCTGTAATTTATTGCCGGTCCCTCAAACCTCTATAAGTTTTAAACTTTATTGATATGTATGTTAATTGCATGGCTTAAACACTTTTTAAAATAATTCTCTAAGCATTTGAGAAATATGAAAAAATTAGTTAACATTAATGTGTGTCCTTTATTCTGTCCAACCTCTGTATGTCCTTAACATTCAAAATATTTTTCGGTTTCACACAATCTTGGTGCAACATAATTAAAATAAAAATATTTACTATGGCAAACTTATTTAAATTAATTTGCTGCTAAATTATTTTTTCTTAATTTTATTAATAAAAACTTAGTGCGTGGAGTTATTTGCACAAATAGTAATAACGTGATTAATTTTGTTGTACTTGTTAATATTTACTTTTTTCAGAAAGTACCTTTTTCAGTCCAGTTATCAAAACTTCATTTAAAGACAGGGAAAAAATATTATAAGAGTAGCTTAAAATTGTGTTGAATTTATAACTTAAATTTAAAATTGCTTTTTTTTCTCTCCCCATTTTAGGTATTCAAATGATTATAACAAACGTGATCACTACAGAAACTATTCTAGAGAAGAAGGCAACAATTTCCAGCGAGGAAAACCTCATAGAGATTACCCATATCCTCCAGATAGGCATAATAATAGGTAATTATGTCTTTCATATTTGCTTAATAAATTTTTCCTGAACAATCAAAAATATTTTTTAAAAAAAATTTAAGGCATTGAAATCAATTTTTATGTAGTAGTAAAGATTTTTTTTTTGTTGGTATTTTTCTATATGACATTTCATTAAGAGAATAAATGGTTTCAGTAAAAAATTTTTTTATTTATGTTAAAATTTTTTTTAAAAAATAGACAACTTAGAAGAAGAAAATAAAAAGTAGGGTAAACTAACCAGTGAAGGAACACTTAAGCTTTGCTTGCCTTTTAAAAAATATATTAATTTCAAAATTCGTAATTTTAGTTAAATGACAGTGTCAACATATTTTTTACTAATTGCAAATTATGTAAAAAAAATTGTAGAGAACTTACATAATATTGTTTTAAAGTTTTGGAGGTTCAAATAACAAGTAGTAAGAAGACCAAGTGAAGGAACAGCTCTTACCAGTGAATGAACACCCAGTAAAGGAACACTTAATTTTGGTTATTTTTTAATGCTCTTTATGAATTTATAAGCCATACAAATATTTAAAAACAAGCCTATTCTTGAAATTATAACATATAAATACTTGGAAAATGTTAACTTTTTTTTGTAATCATGAATTGAAAATTAAAGTGTCAACATATTAACACATACTGTTCATTCACTGGTAAATCTATACCAGGAACATGCCTGTTCCCTCACTGGTTAGAAGTTGTTTTTCGTATTTTTAACATACTTTTGATGCGGAACATCACTAAAGTTACAAGAAAATTAAAGTTTATCTTTTACTTTCATTAACTTAGAGAAAAAAAAAAACCCAGTAAAGGAACACTTGTTCCTTCTCTGGTTTTTCATTGTTTGATAACCCAGCAAATAAACACCCCCTTATATCAGTACTTTATTATGCTATGATGCTTAAAAAAAATAAAACGTAACTTCAATAACTATATTTTGAATTCTCTTTTTCACAGTGAGAAAAGTAAAACTATTACCTGCAATTAATTCCACTTCAAACATATTAATACAAACACTCACCTTATAATTTTTTCAAAGAAACAAGGTGTTGCAGAGATAATAACAAATTCAAAAATTTTTCCAGAGAAGTCTATTTGACCAGGTAATCCAAAACATTGCTAGATGACTTCCTATTGTTTGGCAGTAAGCTATTGTTACCAATCAATCTAAAGAAAAACTTTCAAATTCTTATTTTTAATCAATATATATGAAATGTTCCTTCACTGGGTAGTGTTCATTCACTGGTTGGTTTACCCTATCTGAATTAAGAAAAAACTATACTAAATTTTTTCTTTCCATTTAATATTTTACAGTAATAAGTTTAAAAATATGCTTGTTCAATTTCTTTTTTAATGTCTTCTATTAAGAAAGCTAAAACATTTAAATTTAAAAACAATTAAAATGATGTAGAAAATAGTCTTTGATATGTCATTAAATTTTTAGGGTTTAGGCCTCTCGTAAAATAGGGTTTATGAAGGAATCCTATTTTCTTTTCTCCCATAAGACCCTATTTAATGAAGAAAAAACTCAAATTTAACAAATTATTTTAAAAACCACAGAAATTTTTACTCTTCTTTTGTATTAGTTCTGGTTGAAAAGAAAAAAAATTAGGTTGCTTTTCAAATGTCTACTGTATCCATATTGTCTGGGAAAGAAAAAGATAAGGTTTTAACATTTATGTCACATGTAAGGATAATTTAAACTCCCATTTTTCGAGTGGGGAATCTGTTAAACATTACTCAGCTCATACCTAAAAATTTAAAATGAACTTGTACATAATTATTGTTTTTTTCTTTAAAAAAAAAAAAAAAAAACAACAACTCTGAATAAAAAAAAGTGTACAATTTCTAATTATGGGGTTTTTGTGTTGCTGTAAGTATAGAAATTTTTATTTCGACCCTTGACAGTTCTGGTTCCGATGAATTTGTTGAATCGGGGTCAGGCTGTACAGATGATAATTTCGATTCCATTTAAGAATATAAATCGTTTTTCACTGTACAATTCAGACTTAATGCAAATTATATGATAAAAACAGAAATTTCAACATTAATGGATTCTCCATAATTTTTATCCAATTTTGTCTGTTACTGCATACTACATAATTTAAAACCCATTTTTTAAAAAAAGTCTGATTTTTTTTTTTTTTTTTTTTTTTTTTTTTTTTTTTTTTTNGATGATAATTTCGATTCCATTTAAGAATATAAATCGTTTTTCACTGTACAATTCAGACTTAATGCAAATTATGTGATAAAAACAAAAATTTCAACTTTCATGGATTCTCCATAATTTTTATCCAATTTTGTCTGTTACTGCGTACTACACAATTTAAAACCCATTTTTTAAAAAAAGTCTGATTTTTTATTTTTTTGGGTTTTTTTTCCCCCTTGGTGTTTCAAATTTCAATATATTTAATCTGATATTAATTACGAAACCTGACTTATTGCTTTTTGACATGCCAGATTAATGAAGATTCTATCATAAATCCGTGATGTTTTCCAATTTTTTAAGGCAGCCAGAAGTCATTTTTTGGCATTTGTTTCCCCATCATCTTTTGAATTCCATTATTTTATATATGATGTTGTTACACATGAATTTCGAATTTGAGTAACATTTGCATCAAGAATTCATGTCATTGCTAAACATTTTTCTCATTTCTGATCCGAAAAAGCGACAAACAACTGTAAAATTTTTACTTTTAGCAGTTATATTTTTATTGTTTTTCAGCATTTATTGCAGTTGTTTATGACATTACAAGCCATTTTCACCAAATATTTAAACATGTAGAATTTATACAGCGTACAAAACTTTCAAAATGCGAAAAATTGCCTATTTTTAATTTTTTTCGCTAATTATTTCTTAATGTCTTACATTTACTAAAACACATTTTTTTTCGTAGATTTACTAAAAAGTTTCACTACTGAATTCTGTAAAAATTAAACTTAGCATTATAAGAATGCAGATAATTCTTTTGAATATTCAAATGTCTACAGTATTAAATTTGTTATTACAGATATCATCAAAGTGGTGGTGGGGGCTACTCTTCATATGGTATGCGTCCGGCACCTTATGGTATGCCTGGTCAACCTCCTCCTGCTCATAGTGGTTATAACTATGGACCTGCACCCCCTGTACATTCACCTCCTTCAATGGGCTCCCAACCACCTCATCATGGGTCAGATCATTCCGGTGATTCATATGGATCCTATCAAGGTCACGCCGATTCTTGGCGTAGAAGAAAAGATCATAGTTCCAGTAGTGATCACAAATTCAAAAACTAAAATTTCCTAGTCTTGTATATGTCTTTTGCATCAGGAACAGTTTAGGACTACATATATATATATTAATATATTTTCTATGAACACAACTGTGTGAATATGTAAATATCATACCCATAATTTAATCATCAATTAACACTGTGATGTGGTAAAATCGACAAACTTCATTATCATTTAAATCTAATTTGCTACAAGGAATTATCATCATGTGTACAAACTAATGCATTCCACAACAAGCAGAAATGAAAGTGCTTTTTCTTATGTACATTACAGTATAAAGAAGAAAAATCAATTTGTAAATAATAAATTAATGGTTTTCAGTTTTTGTTTTGGTTCTGTTAATTTTTGTATTATATCAGAGATCTATTCACTGTAAAAGAATTAAACAGAGGGTAAAAAATTATCTTTACTACAAAAAATGAGTAATATATAATTACTTCTTGTTCAATAGTTTATATATGGTGTAATTTAAGACTCTTTGATTCAGGTTCGCAAAGAGATAAATTTAAGACGGGAATTCTTATTCCTCAAGGAAAAAAAAAGACTTTCACACAGCACGTAAGTAAAAAGTGTTGGCAACAGTTTAAGTTTAACTCTTAATTTTAAAAAAAAAATTCAAATACTTGCTTTATTAAAAAAAGAAAAATTTCCTTAAAAAAAAGTGTTCTATTGCTATCACATGGTGCGTAGCGTTTTTAAAAAGTGCTTATTTTCCATTTTCGAAAATGAGATTTTTTTTCTTTACCATGTCAATTTTCGCCACGTATTACGGAAAAGCGTACTTTTCACATTGTTCTATTCAACGTTTTCACTATTCATTCAACCACTCTCTATTTCGGTTTACCGTGGATCCATAGCATATGAAAGCAATAATTTTACATGTTTGATGAAATACTCGAGAGTCTGCATGTGTATATAGTGAGATTCTTGCGCTCTCACGTGCAACTCTGTTGCATTTTGCAAGATTCTCTCAATTTCAGGCTCCATTTTCCACCCTCTGATATCGAGCAGAAAAAATCTCGATAATTTTATAATGGCTAATATTATCAAGAAAAGAGTTTTTTGTCGGAACCTAGTCATTTTATTATGATCGTGAAAATTCTTTTGCATGTTGTTAATGTATGTAGTGCTTAAAAGTTTTTTTGAGTGCTTATTTTTTGTTGAGAGATTTGGCTATGCACCCTGTATCAATGGTTTGCTCTTTTACAACTTTTGTCTCCAGAGTTTTGATGAAATAGTTTTTTCCTACTTTTTAGAATGTTCAAAGGATGATGTTCTATTACTAACATATCTATAAAGAAATCTTTGTAAATATAGAGAAAAATTTGCAGCACTCAAATGTGAAATAAGATTTGAAAATAAAATAGGAAACTTGTTTTTTTCATAAAAGGTATTGTGAACGCAAATTATAAACTGGCTGTAATTTTTCTAGTTTTAAAATTAATTTAATTTTTATAAAATTTTTCCTAATCATAATAATTTGCTTGAGATTTGGAAATTTTAATTGACCCTTTGTTTACGGTGTACCATTACATTTGGTTCATATGTTGTACCAGCTGTATGCAAAAGGTTAATTACAATATCTAAACAAGAACATAATAGGGTTTTAATAAGTATATTTATAAAAAAATTGCCTTTAAAAAAAAATGCCTATTTCACTTAAGGTTTCTATCAAAAGGTTGGATTTAAATGAAAAACCTGGGTTTTTAGAACTATTTAAAAACTTCATATTGTCATCATTAAATGTATTATTTTAAAATAAAATTATGGCGAAAAATTTCAAATCAAACATAAAAGTTAAAGATTTTTAACTATATACTACTACTTCTGTCGCATGGACTATGCCACTTTTGTTAATCTATTGCAACTTTGGAAAATCTCATTCTCATTATTATGAAATCTCATTTTCAAAATTAAAATCTATAATTTAACATGAAATTGCTGGAATGTAGTTGTTTCTGTTTTATTTTAGATTTATACGGACTTACTTTCATTGGTTATTTTTGCCACTAACTACGGCAATTTTATATGGTATAACAATAAGTTCTTAGTTTTGTATAAAATAAAAAAAGTTAAAAGCTCAAATAAAATAAAAAAGCTCATAGTAAAGCTCAAATAAAATAAAAAAAGTTTATTTCCATAAATTAAAGTTGCAGATTTCAGTGATGAAATCATATGACTGCAATCATGCTGAAAATCAAAAGCATATAAATAAAATTCTAAAAATACAAAAGAAATTCTTATTTATAAAGATAAACTAGTATGTATTAAACAAGTATATTCAGGGGGTGTCTAAATTGATGTACTTGAAGGGGGACTAAAATAAAATCTTCAAAATCAGCAAATTTAAATAATTATATAATTTTTTTTCATCTTTTACATTAAAATAAATACTCATCTAAAAATTTAGAAATATTATCTATAACATGTGCTTTGTTTCTGAACTGTCTGCATGTTTATGACAAGGAGGGTATGGTGAAATGTGTCAATGAAGAGGCTGGTCAAAATATTGAGAAAAAGTGTGACATTTGTGGGTAACCCCTCAGAGCTGCCTTGAAAGAAATTCTATTGTCACAGTTGCTTTACTTAGGAGCATAAAGGCAAAACTAGTGCAGCCTGGCGGAGGGCACAGCAAATTTATTTTGGCCTAGACAAAAATAAAATGTATTTAATGAGCTGCTACATTGTTAAGCATTAAAAAAAACAAAAAAAACTTTATTCCCATGTAGGTAACAAGATGTTTCTCTGATTGTGCATTTATGTAGTTAAAATTTTGGAAACTTAAAAAATACCTGATGTAAGAGTTATCTTCTTTGGAATAAGTGTCTTATTATATTGAGACGGACTGTCCCAAATTTGATACTGAAAGCTTGTATTAAATTTTTTATCCCACGCTTGAAAGAAAATGCTCGAAAAAATGCGTTTTCAGCCCTCAAATTTATAAAATAAACTTGATTACAAGTACAGGGATATTTATTAACCCTTTGCCTAATTATGAAATTTTTTTAAAGTGCTTAAAAATATTTTTTGAGTGCTTGAAAAGTGCCTATTTTTTGCTGAATAATTTGGCTACGCACCCTGTTTAATCAAGAATAAATAGGGAGTTTTTTTTTCAAATTCACATTTCACCCTTTCTTCAGAGAAAAAACTTGCTTAAAATCCAAGTTTTACATCAGTTTCTGAGGATGATTCATTGAGTGCTTGTTATATCAAACACATTCATGCTGATACAATATTTCGTATTGGATATTTTGTTATTGTAGGATTGGAAATTTGAAAAAAAAGAAAGACAGGTTTTATATTGCACTAGTGTCATCCATTGAAAGTGATACTGTTAAAGTAGTGTATTTAAGAAAATTTAATACAGGTGTTTTGTCTTTTCAGACAAAAAAAATTGGTTTTGTTGCACTCAAATTGCTAATATCTTCCATGAAACTATTTTTGATTTTTAAAAATTCAAATTTTTATTTCCTTAACAAATTAGCAAAATTTACAAATAAAAATATGATTTGAAAACTTCACATTTTTCCTTTCATTTTAGAGAAAGATTTAAAAGTCCTCTCGGCAATGTGTTAACTAATTTTAAATATAAGTTCTTATTTAATTAATATTTGAGTTTTCGTAGCAAACGCTTTTTTAAGGTTAAACATTAGTGTTATTTTCTTTAAAAAATATGCAAACGGCATTCAATTCATATAAGTGCTGAATTTCCTTTTGAAATATATTTTTTTAAAAATTCGCAATTAGCTTTCCCCTCTAGAACATATCTCTAATTTTTAAAGTCAAATTTATAAAAAAAAAATTCTTATTGACAACTTTTATAAATTGATCTTATTAAGAAAAATATTAAATTAATTAGACTTTTAAATTTCTTTAAAAGAAGAAAAAAACCAAAATGTCCTTTTTGCAACTAATTTTTAAAAATTAGTTTTCAATAAAAAAAATGTGTTTAAAATTTTGTGGCGACATAGAAATTTGAAATTGTGTTAATTAAGATTATGAAAAATAAGCTTTAAACAATATAGAACATCAATTTTCAATAAGTGTATTTTTAAAATCAGCATTCAAAAATAAAAAGCTATTGATTTAATAATTAAAAGCAAGATGGCATATTTGGAGTCTTTATTTCAAATGATATTTATCATCAAGAACAGAAATTGGTTAGAGACCTAAATCTCAATCTGAGTAAATTATACAGACATTCTCTATTTGTTATCGATAACGATTTCTTTCATTATGAGTTCTCTCATCTCGATTATGACTCGTTGAACCTTCTCTATCACGATTTCTTTCATTCCAGTTTCTATTTGAAGAGTCTCCCCTTTCTCTTCTATTTCGATCACCATCTTCAGAGCGATCGCGGTAGGAATGAGATCGATGGTGATCTCTGTCATGTCGTGAACGTCCATGATCTTGTGAAGAAGATGAATAGTCCCTAAATGAGAAAAAATTAAATAACTTCCACAATTGTAAGAAATATTAATGTCAGTTTAAGGAAAACAAAAACCTCTAAATGGTAGGCATTCTTAAAATTTGGACTCACTTGAAATAGTATCATTCAGGACTAACTCCATATCAATATCACTTATGAGCAAATGGATCATTTTAATAGCAATAACTTGGATGAAACAATTACTCCTAGTAATTGGGTGGATTTATTAATCCAAATTTTTTCGAACTAATGCAAGGAAGTTATTTTCAATTTGATATAGGTTCACTTCAACACAGATTTTAATAATGATTACATTTTTACATGATTACATTTTCATGCTATATTGAAAAAAAAAAAGTTCATTAATTTGTTTTCAGCTTACAAAATTATGAAAGAATTTCCACAAATATTTATTACAAAGTATTATAATTATTTTTAAATGTTTGTTTTTACCATGATTTTCATGTGAGCTTTTTTTCTAAGTATTTTGACAAAAATTAAAAGAATTGTTTTCCTTAATTGTAATGTTTTTTTTTAAATTATTTTTCCAATTTAAATGATTTTTAAATGGAATTTAGAGGAATAATCAATTTTAATTCGATTCCCAATATGGTTTTGCATGAGCTGAATCAGTTAATTAAATAATTTAAAAATAAATAATCTTGAAATCTTTGTTTGGTAATACTTAGTTCATTTTTCAGTTGTTATTAATCTTGTAATGTTATTAATGTATGAACTAATGATAGTTATATCCATGGATTTATTATATTTTTATAACTTCATTGAATAACTCTAATGAACACATGTTAAATATGTTAATTATTTGACAAAATATTTTTCAACTTTTGTTTCAGTTCAAAACAACTTTTGTTTCATTTTACAACCAAAATTATTTTTAAGTCTTACAATTCTAGGACTTAAATTTCTAGGTAAACTTAAAAATTAAATATAAACTTTAAGATCTAATAAAAGCAATAGAAATTAAACTTAAAAATTTTCTCCTCAAAGTTTTTATTTAAGAGTTAAATTAAGATTAATATGTATCTGATACTTATATTAATTTGTAACTACAATACCAAAAAACAAAACAAAAAAATGGTGCTTACCCATCTCTACCACCAAAACTCAAGAAATGAAAAATTCCTTGACTTCTCTATACTGATTTAATGGAATTTTCCAGATTTTTGTAACTGTTAGAATTATTTTTAAGAATTTTTTTTTCAGATATGCCTTATTACTGTTCAGAAAATATATTACAAAAATTTAGAAAATATACTGAAAAAAATTTATTTTAAGAAAAATATATTGGACTTTTAGGAACATCACAAATTTAACTGGATTAATTTTTTCTGACTTTTTAGGGATTTTAATTTAATTCCTGACATTTCCAAGCAAACAATTTCCTGACATTTTCTTGTTCTGTGGCTATTTTAAAATAATCTTTTTCATGAAAATAAATTATTTTAACCTTGGCTATATTCTGCATAAATTTCAATTTATAATTTCATCCACTAGCATGAAGAAAATTGCAAGTAAAAATAATTTAGATGCTAATTACAGAAAAACACAGTATTACACAAAATTACACAATAACACAATATTACAAAATAACACACAATAATACAATTACAAAATAACACAAAATTACAGAAAAACACATATCAATATTGCTATAACCTTTTTTGGTTTGGTTTTCCAATCATTTTTTCCCAATCCTTTCCATGTGAATTTTCGAATTCTGATATTTTTAATAATGATGCACGAATTTCGAATTAGAGTAACCTTTTTTTAAAGAGCTTGAATCACGATTCCATATTGTGCAACATCCATGTCCTTTTTCGACTGATTTATTATCATTTATTTACCAATTAATAGGCTGTTTCCGGATAATTTTTAAAATTTAATTACAATATTATTAAGACACACAAATTTCAAATGAGAGGAATTATTTTTCGACTAGATTGGTTTGAGACCATTCTGCTGTACCATCATTTTCTAATAATTTTTTACAGTTATTTATAATTTTTTCGTTCATCTCCATATGGCTTTTAGCCTACTATATTTTAAATAAGATATTGCGACACCCGAATTTTGAATGTGAGTAATCACTTTTTGATGCACTTGATTTGCAACTATTCTATCATTAATTCACAATATTTTCTATTCATTTTCTTGGCAGTTATCATAATTTTGTTTTTTCAGCTTTTAGTACATAGCATTCCAATATTTTAAATTCAAAGTTATTTAGATACTAGAATTTCTAATTTGATTAATAATTTTTTTATGCTTTTAAATTACGATGATTTCATTTTAAATGTGTCCATTTTTTACCTACAGTTAGCTATTACTTTTTTAAATTCCCTAATTTAATACAATGTTATTGGAACACCGTAATCGAATATGAGTAGTAACTTTTTGGCGCACTTTAATTGTTTGCATCTATGCCATCATAATATAGGTCATTTTCCAACCATTTAACTAAATTATGTGTTTTTTTCTTCAAGATTCCTGAAATAAAAATTTCTAAATCTTGTATTTTGTCTATTACTTTAGATTTATTGTATAATTTTTATACAATGAAACATATATAGATATCTTGTAGCATTAAAACAGTAAAAAATATTGTTATTTGAACTTTTATATTCATATAAGGACTAGTATTAACCATTTAGTAGTAATTTTATTGGTTTATGTCACACACTAATGATTATGTTGCATTTTCTACACAGAATTAATTTCCTGGAAGCTTTAAAAATGCTTGTATGTATTCTGTTTTTTTTACTAGAATTTTTAAGCACCAGCAATATTTGCTACTAATTTGTAAAAACCAAGTCACTGTCAGCACATGATCCTATTCAACAAGAAGAAAGCTTTCTTTTAAGAGAAAATATTTAAAAATGGATAACTTACTTTTCTTTAAATTTAATTTGCAAATTAATTGCACAGAATTGACTTTTAAAAGGATAGTACAAGCTAATTTTCAATTTTTAAAAAAAAAGAATTTTAATGAATTTTGCTAAAAGATCAGCTTTTTGTGAATTAGACATTAAGTATTAATGCATAGTAATCTAATTCATGATATACACAGTTAAATGCTATAGCTTTAAGTGCCTGTCTATTCTTTATAGAAAGCTAAGATAGAAACAAAATAATATAAAACAAAACATATATTAAATGCTAAAAGGAATATTAATGCTTGAAAATGGTCAGTACCTCCCTGGCAGATTGCGACGGCATTGTCGCAGAACTTCACAGAGTTCTTGCGAAAAGATTTTGCTTTTACAGATAATTTTACTTTTATTTTTTACAGAAATTTACACGTAATATTTGAATCATGCATTTAAATAATCACTTTTTGACATGCTCAATTTACCCAATAGTATCGCAAATCGATGCAATGTTTTGATTGTATTTTCAGCAGTTATTGATATTGATTTTTACATGGTTTTAAACATCCTGATATATTTTAAACAACATGGAAAATTCAAATCGTGCCTTTGAGTATTTATTTTTTAAGGCAATAATTCTATCGAAGTTTTGGAAGTTATTGCTATTGATTTCTCCATAGTTTTTAAATCTAATATTTTTTGCCTCAAATGTGTGTCTCGAAACGAAACACACATTTGAGGAGTCCAATTTACGTTATTTCATCATCGATCTATTACCAATCTATCATCGATCAATTACCACTACCCATTTCATGATATTTAAATTTTTTTTTTATCTACAAAATGCGAAGAAAATAATATGTGCCTTTACCCCCAACAAAATGCGAGAATATCACCCATAATATTAGAATAAAAAATTATTACATGTTCAATTAAGAAATTTATAATTTTTTTTTGTAAACACAGCATATTTGCTATTTTTCGTTAGTAACATATATGACAATATTCTGTCAAAGTTCTTTATTGCAAAAAGGGAGATCAAGGTAGTTTGACAGGCTGCTCAATCTAATTTTTTTAAAGCTCAAATTTAATCTTTTTTCTTTTAAATTTTTCAAATACTTGTAATTTAAGAAATTGAAGTTTGTGTAATCCTGTCTAATGATTTTCTCTGCGTAAACTTGCTCCAATTTTAATGTTATCAATATAATTAAGATTGTAAGCTATTAAATTAAAATATACTTTACCATTTTTTATGAAAGATTCTTCCAGGTACTCTCCATGGATGAACAACAGGGGGTAAAGGTAATTTCCTCGATTGAACTTCTACATACTTACTATCATTTGCAGTAAATCTGTCTTTAAATAATTCCTCTAATGTCTCTTCATTAGGCAAGGTTTCAACACTAGTTTCCATAAGAATTAAAAAAGAAAATATATATTTTAGAGACTTTTGGGATTATTTATAAATCAATTATAATAAAACTAAACGATCTTAATAATTAAAAAGTACTGTTTGAATGTTTAACATAAACTATCTATTGATATTGCTGATAGAATTCAAGCCGGAAGAAATAAACATTAAATTATTTAGTTGTTTACATAATCAGTCAAAACTTTGAACGAGTTTTTTTATAACTCGTTTGTTATATGTTAGTTTAAAATTATTTTACCGACTAGATTTAATTCGAGTTTAAAAGGTTGAACTTTACAAACAATCTTTTTTTTCAAGGTTTAAATCCTATTATCTGTTGAAATTTAAAAGTTTCGGTTTACCAATATTACAAAATTAGGTAGTTGAAAGCTTTTTAAACGCATCTTTTAAGCTCACCGAAAGTAAACCGCCGGAAACGTAACGCAGCAGATAAATAAATATCCTTTGCTTTTTGTTTACATGTTAAGTTTTATTTCTAAACAGTTTTACCGTCGTCTGTGTGTATTTTAGTTCTTTTCTATAGATTAATACTTATTTTTATTAAGTAAGAGAATTTTTTAAATGCAATAGTTTTTTGTTATTTAATCCGTACATTCTAAGAATTTTTTGATGAATATTGTACAAGTTTGATTTTTCTCTATAAAAATAGAAATAGGTACATTTAAAAAGACATAAGACAGACATGACTTTTGTGCATAGTTCATTAATTAAAGATATAAATAAGCATAAACTCGTTTAAAATTTTATAGCTTATATAAAAATAATTGTTATAAAGCTAACAATTTGCAAGAAGAATATTGTGTGTTTTCTATTAGAACAAGCTTACAAGCTGCTTATATTGTAAAATTAATAGAACATTGTGTGAAAACTGTTTGAATTTTAAAACTGTGTCTGAAATAAAATTTTAAAACTAACTATCCCAATATCCAAAATTTAGCCTAAAAGCAAATGGAAATTTAAAAAACAAAGAAAAATTCATAGAGCCATTATTTATTATGGGAATGTTATTTTAAACTGTATTTATTTTTTATGATAAAAAAACTTAAAAATATTTAGTTTAATTAAGTGCTTTTTTTCTCTTCCAGTTCCAATATGAGTGGTACTTTAAATGTTCAAAATCAGTTCCTTTTAGCTCATCAAAAGTATCAAGAATAATTATGAATAAAAGGGCTCAAGATTCACATAATTTTGATCTGTAAGTTTTTTTTGTAGTGATTAAATGTTTGTCATATTTTTTCTATTAAGAATGCTACTTTATTCTTTCATGTCTATATTGATTTAGATTTATATCAATAATGCTTTCTCTAAATTTTTGTGGAATAATAATGCAATGCAAAAATATGTATTTGTTATTTATAGATATTATTATAGTTTAAATAAATAAAATGATGATATTTATAATGTAGGGCAGGGCATTTTAAGCCTTTCTCTAAATATGGTACACAATACAAAATTGATTTCTAAAATGACCAAAAATTTTAAGAAACTAGCGTAAAATAAAGTAGTTTTTAGAATGAAATAAAATATTCTTAATTTCCTATTTATTAAATTATAACAATATATACATAGGATGCATTTATTTAGAAAAAAGCACCTAACTGGTGCTGACTGGTAGGCAATTTTTTAATGATAATTTATTATATTTAGTTCTCTTGTTGCCACTACTAATTTTGCCAAATATTGTTATTCTACTCCATATTATGCTACTTAACGGAAAAGTATGTTATATGTCATAGGTTTCTAACCGTTTTTGGTTCTCACTCTGCTTCTCTAATGTAGAATCATTACTACCACCAAAAAAATCATGTAGTTGGTTTCAAAATGTGCTAAATTCTTGTCTTTTAAGAAAATTGTAGATTTAAAATAAAATTGTCAAAACTAGTGCAGATTATATGATGATTATTTGAATTCAAAATTTTTGAACCTTGTTAGTATCATATCAAAAAGAAATAAAAATTTTACAAACCATGTGAAAGACCACAGCAATTGTAGTTGAAAATGGTATCAACAAAACCATGTGGATTTACAATAAAATCGTCACGAATTGTGTGCATCAAGCTGATTCTTCACATTTGTTATTCAAAATTAACCATATAAAACAATATAGCATTAAAAAATCGAAATTTAGAAAATTATGTGAGAATCTGTACCAATAACTGACAAAAATGCTATTGACAATGTACTATGTGTATTTATAGTTAAATCGTCAGTTATTAAGTACTTTAAAAGGAAAAAAAAAAGGTTTCTTTAAATGTGTGATTGGATATTTGCTGGGCAAAATATTATTAAAACATACACATTTTAAAAATCATGTAGAAATCCATAATAATAACTGCTAAAAAAGCTATTGACTAAATCCATGTTTGATTCATGTTGGAATTGTTTCGAATCGAAAATGCGACAATCGTAGTACATTATAATTTTATACTGAAACGTCGAGATATTTAAAATAATATGAGTTAAATGGAAGCAATAATGGCAGTTGACGAAACCACAGGGACTTGTGGTAAAATCATGCCAAAAAGGGAGTCTTCAAATGTCTGTTTTGAATTTCGTATATAAGTATAATACCATTAAAGCAACAAAATTGTAAGGAAACCTTCTGGAAATCTGCTGGAAGCTTTCGGTGGAATCGTTACTGATCGAGTGTGTGTTTCAAAATTTATGGTACATTATAATGTTCTATTTTAACATTAAGATTTTTAAAACTATATAGAGATTTGGCACATTTTGTGAAAAAAAAATACTTTCCACATAAAACAAATGGAAGAAATGTAGAATTCATGAAAAAATGAATCATTGTAGCCAGAGAAAATAGGGAATTTAATTAATCTAGAAAAATTGAGGAATTTTAATTAAAATAGCTCAAAAATTTGGGAAAATTATTTAATTTGAGTTTTAGTCCTATAAGTCCAAATTTCTTTTCTTCCATGACATTGGTCTTCTATTTTTTTAATGTTTATTTTCAACTCTAATGGCAGCAAAAATATGTTGTTTAAAGGAAGGCATAATTGAAAAATTAATAATAAAAATTATTTGTGATCACCCCCTTAATAAAATTTGGTGTAGCTCATTATATCCCTTGCAACAAAAGGCTTGCATATCAATTCATTAGAATTTGATTATTCTTTTGTTTCATATAGTAGCCATACGTGGTGTTATAAGTATTATGTACCAACACATTTAAGTAACAGGTATTTCAAAATAGTCAAAAAGTCATCTTTTCTCTAATTCATTTCATAATCATAAGAGACCTTAAATATCCTAACCTTCAAGACTTTGAAACCTTTTCCTGCTCCTAACAAAGTTATTATTTTTGTTAGCTGCATCATTATTTTTAAATGGGTGTAAAGGTAATGTATAAATCTTAAATTTTTAATTTTAACATTTTTTAGTTTTTTGCAAATTGAATTATCATGCTAAATTTCATTATTAAAAACAAAGAAGAATTTTTACCTGTTTTCTTAAAATTAGAAGATGTAAACAAAGTTTAATTTAAATAAATGCAAGCAAAATTAGAAATATGAATTGATCATTTTATGATTCATTGTAAATTTTTACCTGTTTTCTTAAAATTGGAAGATGTAAACAAAGTTTAATTTAAATAAATGCAGGCAAAATTAGAAATATGAATTGATCATTTTATGATTCATTGTAAATTTTGAAATATTTTTTAAGCAATGAACGAACACTTGATGTCTTACAGTGAGATACATTACGGTTACTTACATTTCAGTCTTGAGCGCATAGAGTTGCAGATCTGTGAAATTGTGCTTATTGTAAGATAGCATGGAATTATTGTACGATAGCATGGTTTGGATATTGTATAATTATAATTGCTTTTAATTGCCTAGTTCTAGAAATGTGCAGATTTGTTTGGTTAGCACATTTTGCCTGTTGAATACACAAGAAAAACAATTAAAAAAAAATTTCCAAAATAAATGTTCTTTTTTTAAAAAATTTTCTCATTTTAGCTATCAATAAGAGTCAATATCTTATAATTTTATTTTATTTCTTTATCCCAAATTTTAGCCACTCATTCCTTGATTTTTCTGACAACTGTGATGAAAATGATATTTTAAATTGGAGCTCATATCCGGAAAAGTATGTTATTTATGCATTTTTATATTGATGTTCTTTTAATTTCCTATTATTGCAATATTTTAGGTTCTAAGTTATGTTGTTTGTACTAGAAATTAGCTCAGTCTGTTCTCTGACTTCAAATCTTTGTAATCCTTGACCTATAGGATTTTTTTCAAACCCAGCTTATCTGAGATTTAATGCATCAGCTAAAGGTCAAAATTCTAAAAAGATATTAGATAAAAGTTTTTGAACATATTCTGGCATATGTACTTAGTTCATTGAATCCTGTGAATTTCAAGAACATTGAATAATGGATTTATGCTGTTTGAAATTTTTATTTCGACGAAATTTTTGAGGAGTTTTATAAGTCTTTCTCTAAATAATACTATTTTCATAAGATTTTTATAATTTCTCTTTTCCTACCTCACGAAGCTGGTCATTTCAGCCATTCTTCTTCTAGCAGCCTAGTACAAAATAGCCTTAATGTGAAAGTTAATGATCAAAGAATTAGTACTGTTACTCAGGGAACTGTCAAGTGATTAGAGTTCATAGCCTCTCCCTTGTAACACAGAAGGTAGTTCAAAGCGTTAGAAATGCCTCTATGGTGAAGGTGATTTTGGAGATAGTCTTGTCCATTAATAATTGCTCAATTTGCAGAGGAAATCTGCGAATGGGAATAGGATCAAGAATGAGGTTGTACCACATTTTTGAAGACGTCATATCCTTTGGGCTGGGTTGACGAAAGCTGTTACTCACTTAATGCTACACTGAGGGGTGCAGATACACTGGATGCGAGTAACACTATTGCTCTCTTTTGTAATATTCTACTAGCAAATTATTTATTCTTCCTTTACCAGCAATCTTACCTTTGGCTGATTTTATTGTAAATCCATATGGTGTTTTGGTCGTTTTTTTGGCAGTTATGTATTGATTTTTATCATTGGCAGTTATTTAGTTACGTATTGATTTTTATTGGCAGTTATGTATTGATCATTACTATTGATTTTTATTGGCAGTTATGTATTGATCATTACTATTGATTTTTCTTTCTTTCTTTTTACTTTCTGCATCTGAAATTCGAATTACGCATTCAAGTATTCACCTTTCTCAATGATTCCATAATATTATCGATTGGCAGTTTATTCTATTCATG